GTCATATACCTTTGGCTACTGTGGGTAGAATGCTGCTCAGTCAAGTAGTGCATATTTCTCAGCGTTAAGTATGTTCTCTTTGCTCATGTGGACATCTAGAAATCAAGAGATGATAAACACTGGGGAAAAAGTCAGTTTTGTCTTATGGAAAACTGAAGAAGTGCTGAAGAACAGTACAGACAGCAGAATATTGTGATTATTTTTATCACCAAACAGCACTGTTTGAAAATCCTAAACAATGGTACTATTTTACATCATCTTTGGATATATTTTCTGATGAACTTCTTCTATGTCAGAAATGAATAGAAAACAAGTCCTTGATTCAGCTTTTCAGGCCCCATTGTTACTTCCTGATGCTTGAAGACAAATGCTGATCCTCGTGTCGACTTGCAGTTAGTACTTTGAATTCATCCCTCAGATCAGTGTGTTTAAAACTGGCTCTAAGAAGTGGATTTTCAAAGTAACACGTAGGGATTTAATCCCCTGATTCCCATTACTGTATGAGCTGTGAATCTAAATGCCCCTGGAGCCAGCCCCAAATAACCCCCTGGTGCCTCAGAATGGCAATTAAATCATAAAACCCAAAACTGTGGCCAGATGTAATTAGTCTGAGAACAGAGTTTTGTAATTTTCCTCATGCCACACAAACAAGCTGACCCCCCCGATGACACATACAGAATAATTCAGTTTGGACAAAGAGAACACAAAGCTCAAGTCTGAACATTTCTTGTGCTGTTTGCTGGGAAGCTGGGATATCGAAAACTGTGCTCGGAAAATTGCTGGAAATGCAGTTTATGCTGTTAAGTTTTCTTTCTTTCATTAAAAAAGTGTCTTTCGAGACTCCAGTTGATCCATGTTTCATTGAAAATGTGTTACTTCTTAAAAATATGATTCTGATTACCACAGACTTTAACAGCAGGCAAACTGTAGGCTGTTGAGTGTTTCTTAGCCCAAGCCACTTCTGAAAAGAGCATCAAGGTCCCTGGAGCGAGCAAGGCCAGTGCCCCGTCCTGGCCACCTCTGGGATGAGGTGGTCTCCATGGTGGTGCCGAGCTAGGGTCCTGCTGCATGACAAGGCAACGTGAACCTAAGGGTATGGGCTGGGTAAGGTAGAGTCATCGTTCTGTTTTTGTTGCTGTTTCTGCTTCTTTGGGAAGGAATGGACTGCAAAAGTTGTGAGAGAAGAGTAAAAATAAGATAAACAAAAAACCCTCCCACACAGGGGGACAGATAATGGCAAGCCGCTGTTCTAATATTTCCATCTTCATTAGTTCAAAGTTCTCTTATTTGGTTCAACCAAATATTTGTGAGCATTATTATTCCACCATGTTTTGGTTTGAGTTGAAAAAACCTGGCACATATAACTTAGGGAATTAACTTGTGTTATTAAGGAATGTTGAGTAAAACAGTGCCCCAGTGTCCCAGGACTACTGGTGGGACAGGCATCAATGAACTCCTCAAGCTTCCTATTCAGCGTTTTCTGGGACACTGGGCTGTGTCCTTCTGCACAAGTAGTAATGAAGAAAAACATACTTCTGTCTTGCCCGTGGAAAATATCAGACCTAATAATGATAATTCGTGGGAGCTACATTTAAGAAATTCATGAAACAACAGGGTTGTTTCTGAAGAGATTTTGAACCCCGCGACCCAAATACTTATTTCAACGTATTTTGATTCCGAAGTTTCCTTGTAAAAATAGTCACAGAAATTGGTGGACATTTTTTTTTTTTTACATACAACTCGGTTTCTCTTGTTTACAACATAAATCATTTAATGTAACATTTGCAACCTTAGAAAGGCAGACATATTTAATCCAAGTCAGTTTATAAATTCCAATTTCACATGGATTAAAAACTGCAGATAAATTAAGTCACAATAATATCCTGTACATGCATTAAGGCTGGTGACTGCTAAAGTCTCTTGGGTATCTACAAACAGGAAATCACACACAGATTACTGGGTCTGAAGAGTGTCTACATCATTAAAAAAATCTTGCTTTTTTTTTTTTTGGTGATACAGATTTCAACAGTAACTCTGGAAAACTGTGAAAAATGTTATTTAAAAATATATATGTATATACTACTGCACAGTTTCAAAGATGTGATTCATAAATAATGTTGGCTGCACTGATTAATTTTGTAACAATTACTGCACTTCCAAGGTGATGCGAACACGCAGTGACTTATACTCAATGTTAGGCACTAGTAATATCCTTCAGGCATACTACAGTTTTATGTTAGCTGTATTGTACATATATATTTTTAAATGTATGCATTTATACAAACTGTGTATTATGTATGGGATGTCAGAAATGTACACATCACTGTTATATAATACACACATCATTGTTTTACATACTAGGGTAAGTTTTAGTGCAGAAATCTCATTGCATTGCATTCCATGTGTTCAATCTAGTACACAATTTGTCAACTCTTCAGATTACTTTTCCAGTACATTCTTCTTTAGATAGTGGGTCCGAGTTTCCATTTGCAATTTGAATGTTTCCAGAAATATCTGTTTTAACCAAACCTCTCTTTCCAGGCACAATCCTGCACATAAGTCTGATCTGTGTAGAGAGTAGTAACAAATCCCAAATTTTGATCAGGAATATATTTGGGTCACTTTCTTTCAAAGGTAACACTAACATTGGGATAAAGGAAGGCATCCACTCAGGTCATGGAAGGATAAGGTCAGTTGAACTTGTGTTGAACTTCTGAGGAAATAATATATCTTCAAATAGAAAAAAACGATAATAGACATTATATGTTTAAATGGGAGAATCTCTAGAAGAATCTACATGAAACTGTGAGCAGTGGTTGTCTTCGGGGGATAGGACTTACTACTTTCTACTTTATACATTGCTGTCTTGTTTGAATCTTTACAATGAGCATGTATTACTTTTATAATCCAAAAACATAAGAAAGGTATTTCTACTTTGAACAAAGCTAAAGAAAAGGAACAAGTTATGAATGACTTTCACAAACAACAATCAGAAGATGGTTCCTTACCAAAATCAGCTCTGCCAAAGAAAACAGAAGCTGCTGCCCTCACAGGGTCTATTGATGAGATCAAAGACAGGGAGAGGACCCTGCACGCTCTGACCATCCACAAAATGACCAGTTCCAAGTTTTGTTGGGAAACACGGGCCACCTAAGTGCTGATAAAATGCTATGGGCACAATCAGCCAGGGGCCACCTGTGTGTTTACATGGGGTTTTATGGGTAAGCAACCATGGGGCTCCCACAAGACCCATGACTTTAAGGATGGGCAGGGATACATGATGCAGACCCTGAAGCTCATCATCCCTTTACGTGAGCGTTTCAACATTTCATCAGAATTCAGCAAGAGGAAGTAGAACTAAGCCTCTGTCCTCCAAAAAAAAAAAAAAAAAAAAAAAAAAAAAACCTAAATTAGACTCAAATTTCCATCATAGGATGGGGTCATGAACTCTGCCAACAACTCGTGAAAGGGGTGTGAGGAGCACCTCAGTTGGATAAATGTAAAATGGAAATACTGGTAATATTTCCAGAAGCTTCAGGGCTGAAGCCAAATGCAAATTTCACAAATCCTTCACTGGCTTCATTTCCCTTTGAACCCTTCACTTTCGATTCATTTCAAATCACTGAAGTTGTTCAATCCTTTTGAATCAGTGCTTAGAATTACCGCGGTCTTATTTCCCACCTACAGGTCAGGTGACAACAATGTGAATGTTACAACCAAACCAGTAAGAGCGTCAGGGAAAGCATATATCACTATCTTTCATAAATGTTTTGTGCCACCATCACCTTGGAAAATGGAGCGTTCCACATATGGCATTCACCTGTCTTTCTCAGACCATCCTGGTACAATTCTGTCAAGTGAGAGGCTTCAAAGGCTTTATTTTTGTTTTTAAGGATATGGCAAGGTCTATCCTCTTTTGTAGGAATTTTTCTTTTTTACCAGTATTTTTTATATCCAAGTATATTTAACAAGAAGACTAAATCTAGGGCATGATAAGAGACTATAAAAGAAGTAAGTTTCAGACAAAAACTGTAAACAAGACGTCAAAAACCTAAAATGTAAACTTCATTTAAAAAAAAAGAAAAAAGAATCAAGGACAAGACGTAAACATACCAGACACGCGGGATGGAAGCATAGGATGTTCTGGTCATTGCTACCGCAAACAGATTTGCGGTCCTTGCAAAAATAACTTACCCTGCGCAGTAAGCAGCTTGCTAATCAAAGCCTGAAACACAGCCCCCAGATTGAAATGCATTAAAGGCCTGCGTTCTGCATGAAGAGTGAGAGAATTAGACAGTCTCATGATAGCGAATAGTTCTCAGTCTGAGAAGCAGCAGATACAGACTCCTAGTGAAGAGACATTCTAGGGAATGTCCTAATTTGGCCAAGAACATTTGTTAAGAGAGCTATCGCGGAGAGAAAAGACTTGAAAAATATTGGCTGACAAACGCCCTGTGGCTCTGTGGCCACCGTGTCACAGTGGCAGGAAGAAACAACACATGTGCTGGGTGGGCTTGTCGTGGCACGAGCAGAAGCTTGCAATTCTTGACTGAGCTCCGAGCACAGTTGTCTTTTAGTGTCGGTTAGCTTGCAAAGACACTGACTTTTTACCAAACCCCAGTGCCATGTTCATATTCTTTCGGGGGCAGGGCAGGCCTGTGGGATTTGATCCATTTGCACATAACGCCTTTAGTTGATAACAAAGTTGGATGGAAGGGGTGAGGAGTAGACAAAAGGCAAGGTATTTGGTCACATGCAATCTAGTAAACGTCCAGCACAAAAATAACTGACTTCTTTTCATTATTCAATTACCCATTAATACACACAATCAAAAATGAATTGGGGAATAGTATATTAATACTGAAAGTAATCAATAATATAAGAACTAGGTTCATCTTAACTGGCAGTCAAGCTTTTGGTGTGCTGTATTGCACCTGGTTAACTAACCCATGAGATTTTGGTTGAATGTTCTAAGAAGTCATGGTTTAGCTTTGAAGAAAGTGTGTGTGTGTGTGTGTGTGTAAGTGTATATTCTCTAACCAGAAACCTCTGATCACTTTGTCTAGCTTGGGATTATGAAACTAGACAAAGAAAATGTGTTCTAAAGAGCCGTGTATCTTACACACATACAGGCAGGTTCTTTAACACCCACACACACATACAAACACACATGCCCTGGGAAAAGACCATTGTTCGATGCTGAGGAAATATTCACCGCAGTTTGGGAAATGCTGTGGCCGGGGACTTCAGTAGCACAGTGTCCAGAAACATTGAGCCATCCGTGGAGACGAGAGCACAATCCAGCTCACGGGCAAGGTCCCTATGACAGGTGGGTGCTGTTCCGCAACCAGTGCAGGCCCTGCTGGGAGTACTGGACCAGATGCTCCATGCTGCTGTGCAGGGTGACAGGCCCCATGAGCAAATCCAGGTCGTTGAAGAATTCTAGGGGACAGAGAGAGTCATTTGAGTGACACACATGCTAACTGTGCTACCCTGGGAGACCCGAGTGACTTAAGAAAAAAATTCCATTCCTCGTCTTTATATAAATCAAGCATTCTCTATTCCATCATGCAACTTTAGCATTCAATGGACAGAACCCACAGGTGGAGAACTCCTCCTATATCCACAGGATTTTATTGGCCATTTCTCATTTAAATGAATAATGTTTGCCGAGCCAAAGCGCAAGGAAAATTTTCTTCCTCAGACTGCATTGTCCATGTGCACAAATGCTTCCTCCCCTGGACACGGGTTGTGGCTCTGTTGCCCCTTATACTGTACTCAACTGTAGCATGTGCTGAACCCCTGGAGTGAGTCCAAAGAAGGAGGCTCTAGGCCCCTGGGGGCAAATCAGAGATGGGGTTCTGAAAAATCCTCCTGAGGTCACCTTCTAGTCCTGGGACATTCTTTAGGTTTGCCCTTTCATTAAATACTTAATTAGGTACCAAGGCACTGTGGTAGGTGCAGGAGGGTAGAGGTAGGGGAGTATACCAAGGGGAATAATGAGTAGGCTCTGCTCTCTCAGAGATCACAGTGTGTGGCTAAGAGAGACAAATTTGTATGGCTGTTATGCTGTCATAACTGGATCACTGAACCAACCAGTCCTTGAAAGTAAGTATCTGGGAGAAGTTTTTCCAGAGGTGCTCAGGTACATGTTCAATGAAGTCCTGCTGGAGAAGGCAAGGGAGGGTTAGAGAAGACTCCCAGGCGGCTGGGAGGATAGCCAAGGCAGGAATCCAGGAGCAGAAGAGGGGAGGAGGAGCGGGTTCGGGAAAAATCGCTAACTTTGCACTGGACATGTAGCATTGAGCCCTCCGGTAGGAGACATCCAGAAGGCAACTGGCAGTGCCATCGGGAGCGTGGCCTGCTCAGGGTCTCCCAAACTGGCCATGTAAATTTTTATATGTCCTGTCCCTTCTGTTTTGTCCACCTGTGATGCCCACCCTACTCTGCCTCAGTTACCCAACTACCATTTGTTTTTCAAAAGCCTGTCCCATGCCAGTTCCTCTAGCAAGCCTCTCCTGGTGGCCTCAGTCCCCTGGAATTGACCTCCCTTGGCATTCCCATTAGATTTTCAGGGTGTGCCACCTCTGGGATGCATGTTATGTACTCTCTGGTTTTATTATCAATTTTATGTACTCAGGGCCCATCTTTTTCTCTGTACTATTAATTCTTCATCTCATTGTGGACATCCTGGTCTTGTCCTCAGAAGCTTATGCTATCATGGGAACAAAATTCGCATCTCATGGCTTGAAAGTGAGGTCAGATTTGCACTCTCACCTGCTGCCGGAGGGAGAGTAGTAAATTGGTATACTCTTTTGGGAGAAAGTTAACAATATACGTCAAGATACAGAACAACATGTATCTTAAAGGAATCTGTACCTGTTGACCCCCAAATTCTCCCTCAGATGAAAATAATCAGAATATGGACAATGATTTATATGAAGATATTTATCATAACATTATTTTTAATAGTAGAAAAAATTGGAAGTGACATATGTCCAATAAGAAGGGAATGGTTTTGAGAAATCGTGATACTTTATGACTACATAAGCACTATTATGACAGTCTTCTAGAAGCATCATAAATGATGTTTTTGAACAAGTCAGGGACATGGGAGAATGCCTGATACAATGTTAAATGGAAACAGACAGGATATAAGACTGCATATGGACTGCAGTCTTATTTTGGTAAGAATCGTGTGTATTTGGAGAAGACTAGAAGAAACTTCAGTAGAATGTTAACAGTAATTATTTCTTGGTGATAAGATTACTGATAATTAAAAAATGTTTTTCTCTGTAGTTTTCCACATTTTACAAATTTAGCCACAGTAGACATGTGCTTGTCTTATAATCTGTGAAAACAAAAACCTCATTTAAAGAGAATAGAACTTACTGCTACCTAGAAAACACTCTCTTCTCAGGGGTAAGTAGCTATCACTTAGGTAGCTTGGAACATTCATCCTCATTAATCAATCCACCAATTCATTCATTCAATGTTTCTCCCCAGCTGTGCTCTCAGCACTGTGTGGGTCTTGGGAATACTAAGCTGAACAGAAGGTTACCCCTACCTTCAAGGACCTCACCGTCTCAAGGGAAAACCATATGCGTGTGCGAGCGAGTGTGTGTGTGTCCTAAAATAGGTATCTACATCATTTCTATGTATCTGTTTCCTATCTCCACCTCTACCTCCACCTCCATCTTTAATCACCCACAGTCAAGATTAAGGTTGGTCAAGGCACAGGAGGCCGTGCGTGATGGGGAGAGGTCAGGAGAAGTTTCACACAATAGGTGATAACTTCTATTATGTCTTCTCTGGTACATGATGAAAATTTGCTCGATGATGTCCAGGGTCAGGCTGGTTCCCTGAGCTGTGGAGGAAGCACGTACACACTCCCTGGTGGCACACACACCTCTGTTTTCCTTGGCCAGGTTGTCTGCCATCTCCCAGTAGTCATAGCTGTGGAGAATGCTGTTGGTGATGCTGACGTGATTGGCTGCCATCTGGTGGATGCGCTGTGGGATGCTGACGATGGTTGAAGGGGACAGGGCATTGGTATTGGAGAGGCTCCCCTGAGATCCCACGGAGCTGGTTGGGGAGGGGTTGGGAGACATGGGGGATGGGGTTCCAGTGCTCCTGGAAGGGGAGGGCGTAGAAAAACACAAGAGTGGGGAGGTTGGTACCAGGTGAGGTAGAACAGCCCCCCAGGCTACTGTAAGCAAAGTAGCACATGGCCCAGCATCATGCAGCGTCTCATTTATCACCTTTACTTTGGAGAAATGAACTTACTTTCCACTGGCTCCCCATGGAGATGGGGCTTGGGCAGCTTTAGATGAATTCTGCAGGAAAATAAAAATGTTGACAGTGAGTACCATCTGTTTAAGTTTAAAGAGCTGACAGTAACATGTTCTCAGGTGACCGTTGAAAGAAGTAATGGCAGAAACTGCAGATAAAATGAAGACTCACAGAAACTGGATCTGGGAAGTTAAAATTACTAGGCTACTGGTTTCTTTTCTGGAAGCTAGTGGGGGGCAGCTGCATGGCCTGCTGGATTTCATGGTGGGCTAAAATGGAGAACTCAACCCCACAGCCTGGGTTTTCATGCACCAAATTCTATGTACCAAATTAAATCATAATTCTGAGGGTCTGTTGAATCCTAAACCAGCCTAAATTTTTTCAACTAGCTTAATTTTCCTAAAAAGGAAAAAAACAGCAGGAGTTCCCTCCCCACCCCCTGCCCACCACACCCACTGAGAACATCTTATATTTAAATGTAGGGCATATCTGCAGAAACCACTGACATACATTTAATGCCTGAACATATATGAGACATCAAATTATATTGTTTTGCCTTATGAAGCTTAAAAGTATTTCTCTTAAAGGAAATTGCTGTTGAATTTTTCTAAAAGAACAGATTATAATATATGTCCTTAACAGAGTATTCAAAAACTGATTTATCTGAATATTTTGATTTAGGATGTTATGTTACATGAGCCAGCTGTTTGCATCAGGCATTGAAAAGGAGTCCTGCCTATGGCAAGGAAAGTTGCTTAATGTACAGACAGATTTCCTTTCTGAAAGCCCGATAATGTGTTCTTGCACATAAGTCTAGGGGACTAGTAAAGTAAAGAATGGTCTTTATGATACTGATGTGAATTTTCGAAAACAGCCTGAGCCTGGTTACCCAGAGACAAGGTGTTTCTTTTGGTTAAAAAGGACTTTAGGAAGTGGTGAGTAATTTTTAGTTCTTAGTGGAGGTGTTACCAAAATGGTAAGAAATGGCCTAACAGGTGGCAATTCTGCAACTGCCTTTAGACTTCTTCTATTACCAGGAAGCCCTGTGACTGTAAAAACATACGTGGGGACCAAGTCTTTTTTTCAGAGGCAGCTCTGTATCGATAAAACACATTCTTTATGGACAAATTATCATCGCCACCTGAAGCTTTCATAATCCCTGAACTTTTTTTTTAAGATTTTCTTTTTCTTTCTTTTTCTTTCTTTCTTTCTTTCTTTCTTTCTTTCTTTCTTTCTTTCTTTCTTTCTTTCTTTCTTTCTTTCTTTCTTTTCCTTTCTTTCTTTCCTTCTTTTCTCTTTCCTTTCTTTCATTTCTTTCTTTCTTTCTTTTTCTTTCAAGAGTGAGGGGAGAGGGAGAGAGAGAGTCCTAAGCAGGCTCCACACCCAGGACAGAGCCCAATGCGGGGCCCAATTCCACGACCCTGAGATTATGACCTCAGCTGAAATCAAGAGTCAGATGCTCAACTGACTGAGCCACCCAGGCTCCCCCACGATCTCTGAACTTTAAGTAGCATTTAAATGGCTTTTAATTAAGGGTAACTACCAATAACCCCTGGAGGGGAAACTGATGTTTAAGTTGTGTTCTCTGTCCATTCTGTACATATTCATAGATGGCATACATACACTAAGAACTTTTTGTATCCCTTAAAAGTTCTGTTGTAACCTCTGTGGCTTACAGAGTTCAGATTCCCTTTTTATTCAAGCATTTTTTTTTTTTTTTACTCTAATAATGCTCTTCAGTATTAGCTCTTAGATTCTGACATTTTGGAAACGACCTCTCTTGAGCTTAGGCCGCCAAAGTAAAGGAACAGGCTTAGTGTCTGTTCTTGTCATTATGACACAGAATGGTCTTTGTGTCAAAACAGTTCTCTCCTCGCCTTAGCACCTGGTTACTCTACATGCGTGACCAGGAAGCAGGTGGTATGCTGGACACAGCCCATGGAACCTCCAACATAGCCTGGTCAGCAGAGATGATCTCTAAGAAGTGGAGGTTGGGGATTAAATTAAAGGATCTAAATGATGGTGTGTATCTGACAGGGTTGGTGGAGGTGGAAATGGCATAAATTTCTTGTTTCTATAGACAAATGGACAGCAAAGAGGCCTAGAAATCCCAAATGCATTATAACTTCATGTCGGCTTCATAAGCACAGCAGAGAAGGCTTTTTTTTTCCCCATTCCCCCAGTGAAAATGATTTCATTTCCTGAGATATGTAGAAGTTAACCTGGCTTCCAATTCTACCCTTATATTTACCCAATGCCATTGTCCTAGTGCCTCTGAGTTCCAATGAACCACTTCTTATCACTTAAAATAACACCCTTATTAAAAATTAAATGAGCTACTGGAGGGAGCTATGAGGAAGTTCTAAGTAGTTACTTCTGAGAGGAAGAAGCTGTAAGCGAACATGAGGAATTTGTTAGCTATAAAGAGGAATTTCCTAGGACACTGGAGTGGGTAATTGGATCTTCTTTCTCTTGAGGCCATGAAAGTACTTGGACACGAGGCAGGGGGATAAATTAGACGGGCTGTCAAGGCCATTCTCTGAGTTTTGTACACCATGAGTATGTCATAAAGGGGGTTACTGTTGATATCAGAGGGTTCCTGTATTCCCCCCCACCACCCCAAAGCCAGGGATTCTACTAGGCTCCTGGAAAATGCCCTTGACCGGGAGACCACTGGATACAAGCAACAATGTTGCCCACTAGTCAGACAATACCTTGAAATAGTCGATAAGTGCTTTTGAATACTTCACAGCGTGGTCCCTTTTGAGTCGAAACATCCGCCAGTACAGGAGAGCCAGGCAGCGGTAACTGCGGCGGAAAGAGAGAAATGGGCCCCGGGAGCTTAAGTGTGTCCTCTGCAGCAAGAAAACTCTTGTTGTTCTAAGGCACCCCATATTTATATCACGATTACATATATGAAATATTGCTATACTTACGTTTATGTCTGTTAAGTATCTGACCTTCCTTGTCTTCAAAAGATCTAATTCAAAATTTCAAGGAGTTACTCCGTAAATATATTTACCATTAGATCCTAGCTTTATGGCTTCTTCTTGGGGCTAAGGGACAGGCCATTTTCTTCTTCTGCCACTAGAGGGCAGTCTCTCTCCATGGGAGGAGTGAGGGAGCACTGGCACACAGCTTTCACCGCGACTGGGTGAATCCCGGGCCAGATCCACCTTCCTTCCTGACGCCCCCCTGGCGCCCCGGACCTCGGCAGCGTCGGCTTTGCTGAAACAATAGCTCTTCACCTGTTCGTATTCCTTTCACTTTGAAACTACCTTACTGGACTGGAAGTAGTTCAAATAAAGTAACAGGTACGAATGTCTTATAAACAATAAGAACTCAATGCTGAGAGTAGTTATTATTGTTTTATATTTATTATTTATTATTATAGAATATTAGTATCTTTATAATATGAAGTATTAATCATCATTAATTTGTTAATCCTAGTATGGAACTTTGCATTTGAAAAGAGCACAGAAAGCCTTTCCTGAGACATACCCTCTTTTCCTTGGTGTTTTTTTTTTTTTTGAAACGAGAGAAGTCATGTTTTTTTTAAAGATTATTTATTTATTTGAGAGAGAGAGTGAGAGACAGAGATACCAAGAGAGAGCACGAGTGGGGAGGACAGGGAAAAGTGGTTCCCTGCTGAGCAAGGAGCCCGATGTGGGGCTCGATCCCAGGACCTGGGGATCATGACCTGAGCCGAAGGCAGCAGCTTAACCGATTGAGCCACCCAGGAGCCCTGGTGCTTTTCACTCATAATTATTTGCTAACTCAGATCTGGTGCCAACAGGCTGGAATGCCAACATAGCACGTACAACTTACTAGTCTCTTCTGAGCACATCAAACTGCAGATGATGTAAAACTACCTGAGGACCCTCTCTTTTGTGTATGCTGCTTATTTTTTTTTTTTGAGACTTGATTCTCCGTCTGGCAGATCAGGTTCTAGAGTAGAGTATGAACCACTAGAGAGCAGAAAATGTTGGATTTCTATAGATAGGTGTCCTGTGATTTGGGAGAATGGGATGAGGTGTCCCAAGGAGATGTAATGGGGAAAATTATTATACCCACATAATCAATACCACTGTAATCATTACAGATACAGAAAAGATCTATTACATGTTGGTGAACATCTTAAAAGAAGTGCTTCTATTATCACAGTGTAGTGAACTGCTCCTTAGATTGGAGTGTTGAGAACTTCAGCCCATCATCTTGATTTAGTCATACTGATCCCACATGTAAATAGACAAATGGATTATTTTGATTGTGTCTAAAGTGTTAAACACAAGAGAAATGACATTTGGCACAATTCACATTCAAATTATTAAAACACAGACCTACCTGATTTTAAAGTCAGGCATGCATGCGCACACGCACGCGCACACACACAGAAACAATTATCCTTGTGTAATGGACCTGTTGATTCTTAATCACTGTTAATTCACATCATGCATGGTATAGCAGCACAAAATGGTGTGGGCTCTCCCTGGTCACCATTAGAACTGCATTTGATTTTACATGTCAGAAGGCACTAGAAGAACATATGCGTTTCAGCACCTGGTTTGCCAATGAACATATATAAGGCTGAGGAAGCTTTTTTAAGCTGGTATCATGCACTCACCATAATGCAGCCAATTGTTTGTCTTCTGGTGTGGCATTGGGGCCTGAATGGGTTTTTAGTCTCATAGCATACCTAGGGCAAAAAAAAAAGAAAAATCAAAGAAATTAAAAAAAAAAAGCTTTCTTATTAACAATAGAACCTCTTTGGGGCGCCTGAGTGGCTCAGTCGTTAAGTGTCTGCCTTCAGCTCAGGTCATGGTCCCAGGGCCCTGGGATCTAGCCCTGCATCAGGCTTCCTGCTCAGCAGAGAGCCTGCTTCTCCCTCTCCCTCTGTCTGCCATTGTGACTATCTGTGCTCTCTGTCAAATAAATAAATAAAATCTTAAAAAAACCCCAAAAAACAATAGAACATCTTTTATGATTGAAGTTCTCTTTCCCCAATACTTAGTTTTTCATAGCACTTGCTGTTCTTTCCCGTTTTCTTTCCTTCCTTTCTTCTTCCTTCCCTTCCTTCCTCTCTCTCTTTCTTTCCTTCCTTCCTTCCTTTTTATTTAGAGAGGGAGGGGGGAGAGGGAGAGGGGGAGGGGGGGAGAGAGAGAGAGAGAGAGAGAATATCTCAAGCAGACTCCCAGCTGAGCACGGAGCCTGACATGGGGCTTGATCTCACGACCCTGAGATCATGACCTGAGCTGAAATCAAGACTCGGATGCCCAACTGAGCCATCCAGGTGCCTCATCTGTTAATTCTTTCTTTTTATTTTTAATTTTTTAAAATTAAAAAATTTATTTTTTTATTAACATATAATGTATTATATGTTTCAGGGTGTTAACTCTTTCTTAAAAGCTAGCTGATGTTTGCCCCATTTTCCCTAAGGATTATACTACTACGACAACTAGAACAAAATGACTTTTATGACCGTCTAGCTACTTTCTGCTCCTTAACAATACAAGTTCAAATGCTACAGATGGTTGAGAGTGATACCAGTGCAAGCATTATCCAGGTATATGGTGACACATCCATTTTTACTAATTTGGATTTATGGCTGAGTGGCTGACAAGATGGAGAGAAGTTCAGTCCTTCTAAACCAATCTCCAGGAAAATGTTCTACTCCCTGTACTCAAATGAATGCTTGGATTTACCCCTTTTTCTTACTCTTACTTTGATGGCTGTGTCCTAGGTTCACAACTAGTGGCTCTTATGAACTTCACTTAATCCCACTTACCTCTCTAAACTAAGGGGACAATGGCCATTCCATTCTCCCAATAATATACCAAGTTACTTGCAGACTTTTTGAGACAGCTTAGACAGTAGTTGAATGGTCAGAAAGTCCTGGGTTCAAATCTGATTCAGCCTCAATTTTCTTATTGATAAAACAAGACTAATACTGCTGATCACATAGCACTGTTGTAAGGATAGTATTGGTAAAGGTCATGGTAAATGCTCAAGAAATGATACTGTTATCATATTAGCTCCACACCATGCAGATCTGTAGTGTCTTTGAATATATCTCCATGCACAGTTTTCCTAGTGGGTGCTCTGGGTATTTACAAATGCGTATGTGCCTTACTACAATTCACTGGTGTTAACATGTTCCACTCGGAGTGAAGCGTGGAGACTTTATTTCCATTTAGGTCTCTTTACTTTACTTACTTTTAAATAACATTGTCTTGAATGTCAGCTGGTGGCATAATTTTTGTTTTAATCACTGAATACAGGATTTGTAAAACTCACGAGGAGGGTAGTTTATCACACAAATCCATATCTTTGTTCTTCTGTTGTTCTTCCTTCCTTTCTGATGCTCCAAGATTCCTTCATTTGTCATCTCCTTTCAGTCTTAGGAACTTCCTTTGGCCAATACTTATAGGTTAAAAACAAATACTTCATTTTTCCTAGTCGGAGAATATTTTTATTTCCTCTTCATTCCTGTATAATGAAGTTTCACTGAATCTAAAATTCACAGTTTGACGGGTTTTTTTCTTTCAGCACTTGAAAAATGTCATGCCACTCTCTTCTTTCCTCCATGGTTTCAGATGAGAAGTCTGCTGTCATATTACCTCCCTGACAGGTAATGTGTCATTTCTCTCCCGCTATCTTCAGAACTTTTTGGTGGTTGTTTTTAGTTTTCAGAAACATAGTTATGATGTGTCTTGGCATGCATTTCTTTGGGTTTATCCTACCTGGATTTTTCTCAGTTTCTTATACCTGTAGGTTTATGTCTTTTGCCAAACTTGGCAAGTTTCAGCCATTACTTCTTCAAATACTCTGAGTTCCACTCGCTTCCTCTCCTGAGACTCCAGTGATACACATGTTGGATCTTTTGTCACCGTGCTTGAGGCTCTATCCATTTTTTTTTTCAGCCTATTTTCTTTTTGTTGCGCAGATTGGGTAAATTCTATTTTCTGTTCTCAACTTCACCGATTCTATTCTCTGTCATTTTGTTGGGGAAGGTCTTCAAAAAGCTGTGACTGTCAGTTGACCTGGACCCTGTGAGCTGGGCCCGGGTGATTAGAGGCTCCTCACCTCCTCCCTTGCCTTGAAATGTGGGTTCCACTTGCCTTTTCTGCTCCCAGAGGCTGCTCCAAGGGCACAGCCTTGATATAGTGATATGGTGTTGAGAACTATCTGCACAGTATACTTGGCTGAACCCAGTTAAGGCCTCCATATAAACTCTAAGATTTGGTGGGCAGGTGCAGGGATCCATTCATCTTGTGGCCACCCAAGTAAGTTCTCTTTGCTTATTAAACCAACCTGGAGTGGTCTGCCCCTTTCCTCCTGTGTCTCCCTACCCCCCATGTACAGGGGGGTGGTTTCAGATTACACCTGGGAAGCTCCTGACAGGGTTATGCACCAACACATCTCCACTTTACTATTGAGCCCATCCAGTGAGATTTTTGTTTCTGTTATATTTTTCATTTCTGCAATTTATTTTGTTCTTTTTAAAAAATAACATATTTCTTTGCTGAGATTTTTGATTTTTTGTTTCTTTCAAGAGAATTTATCATTGTTTTTTGAAGCATTTTTATGATGGCTGTTTTAAAATCCCTGTCAGATAATTCCAACATCTGATTCATCTTGGTGATTGGTGTCAAATGGTTGTCTTTTCTCATTCCAGTTGTGATTTCTTGTTTCTTGGTATGTATGATAAGTGAGCTTCTATTGTGTCTTGGACATTTGGCTCTTATGTTAGGAGACCCTGGGTCCTATCTAAATCTTTTCTCTTAAAAGGAAGTCACCCAGTTTAGGTTTAGCAGGCAGGTCCTGGCCTACTTCTGGGCTGTAGTTCCAATTACAATTTAATTTTCAGAGCCGTTGTGGTGCCATTTTGATTTGTGATGCTTGCTGTCCCTTGGGGAGAAAGGAATTCTCTTGCCTATGGGGATATAGAGGGAATCCTGAGCTGGACACTTCTGGTGAGATCCCCCTTGCCAGTACTCCCAGCCCCAAGTGTCTCTCGGTGGGGGAGAAGAGTCTTAAGCCTGGCAGGCAACATACAGATTTAAGTGGTGAATTAATGCTATTTTCTAACTCAGATAAGAAAACTTTCTCTTGTCTCAGTTCTCTGAGTAGTTTAAGGGATTCTACTCAGTCTGAATTATCTAGAAGCTAGTGTTCTCCATCATGCGACGATACTTGCATTAGTGAACACACCCGAGTCCTAACTCTGGTGCAGGGCAAGTGTAGCCTATCAGCACCTCCAAGTGTATTTGACTGGCATCAGACTTTTATTGTGGTGTGGATTTGTTTGCTTATTTGTTTTTCAAAATTTGAATGCCTTAAAGGGGGCCATATACACTCCAGTTCACCAAAGGCTGACTTGCTTATTTGTTCATTCAAATATTTATTGAGCATATACGATGTTCTAGGAACTGTTCTTGGAATTAGGAATACATCAATGAACAAATCAGAACCCATCCCCCCAAGTCCCCGTGTTGGAGGCAGTCGCATTTCTAGGACACCTTACTTCTTTGTGCCCATCCAGTGTCACCATTTTCTTACCTACCTGTGGGTATCTGAGTCTGTGCCTTGCTCTGAGGAAGGAATGGGAGAATCTGGGATCTCTTAGAGTAATTTTAAGTATTTTACTATGGTGATTTCATTCCGTCACTGACAAAAATAGCATACCATAAGAAAATAGAATGAGGAAATCACCGATACATTGATGTAGTAGAAATATTTTAATAAGAAAAATGACTGAACAGTGTTGACTTTCAAAACATTCTTAAGAGGTGCTTTTTGAAGATGATGTATTCTCTGATGCTGGGATGACAGTTTCAAAGGCTGGAAACTATTTACTGAAGGAAGGTGGCATAAAATAACGAGTGGTATCTTTGAGCCAAAGCGGATCAAAAAGGTTATAACCTAAGATGACAAGAAATCTTTCATCTGGAATGATGAGGCGTGCTAAAAAATATCTAACCTTAGGTTGCAAAGAATTCCAGAATTAGAAAAGTCTCTTAAAGTTAGTTTTTGGGAAGGATAATTTCACATATGGGTATTAAATATTATCCCAAGCAGCTGAACTAACTAGAGACGTAAACTATATGACAAGGTTCTCAGGATCGTTCGTGGATGAGAGTCCCTTAAGGGTTCATTAAAAAGACATTAAAGATGTGTCTTTCTGGGTCTCCATGATGGAAGACAAGAGTCTCCCATCCAACTCCATGATGTGCCCCTGTTAGAAACCCTGCTTCTGCTCATATTACATGTCTCAACCCAGGGGAGGGATGGTGTTCCCATTCAGGTCTAAGACCAAAACAACATCGGCAACCCCTGAGACAGCATATCATAGGAGGGATTTCCTTTCTTAAAATCCCCCCGAATCTTCTTTCCTCTCATCAAATACTCCTGAATCATTTACTGATGGAGTTAGGATTTTTATTATACTAACCTGAATCAGATTTACAAAAAAAAAAAAAAGGCAGCATAAAGGTGAAATTAGTTCAAAATCTGCCACTTCCCAGCTGGGTGAGGCAGGCATGTCACATCTCACTCAGGCTCAGGGCTCAGCCTCCTTTCTGCAGCAATCAGGGGTTAGAGGAACTCTCCTGCTCACTCACAAAGAGAGCAAAGGAGGCAGGGTGTGTGAAAGTGCCTTGCAAAATCTTACATTCCTCTTTGTGAGGAATTAGTTCTTGGTAGCTGACGGTGCAGGCTGGCATTCTTTTCTCTGTATTCAGAGTACTGACATACATTCCTCACCCCCTCCACCTCCCCAACAAGACACGGTGCTTACCTGATGAGCTCTACTGTTTCCGAATACATCGTATAAGGAGATTTTGATTCCATTGGGCCTTGTTCCATTGCGTTTCCACACTCAATAAATGACAAAGCTGCTTCAGCATAGTTCAAAGCCTTTCCAAACTTTTCCACCTGATCAACAGAGTTAATACAGTGTCCTCCTTAAGTACAGTTTTTTTTAAACGGCATTGTCACATAGTCTATACACTTTATTTGAGAAACCCGACTGTAAGTTCCAAAATCCTGTGAATGGAGCCGAGAGAAGAAAGAAATAGGATGTTTCCTTCTCTAGTTATTTTCACAAATTGCTACTGATTCAGGGTAAGTGAGTGAATGGTTACAGACAGAAATGTCCCAAAGCCATACAACAGCTGCCAATCAGAATTGGTCAGAACTACACGGTTGCTCTAATTTCTCTTTCTTTCTAACCCCTAATTGCTGGGCAACTTCCCTCCTTGTCCCTCCATGCTATGCTAAATAAAAAATGACTTGGGGGGATTATCTCAAGTTGTCTAAATGTATGTTAATTTCCCCCCATGTCAGTGAGGATAACCGGGAATCAGCGTCATAGTCTTCGGTTCTCATAAATCTGAATGTACACGTCAAGTTCCTACTTCCACATAGTTATTCTCTGTGGTAATTACATATTCTAAATTCAGATTGTATAATCTTCCCAGTTTTCACATATTCATTCATCAACCCAAACAGAACTACACAAATACTCTACTAATCTAGGTCTTGCCTCTAAAAACAATTCTCATTCATAATGAATACCGTAGAAAGCACCAGTGGAGAGCAAAACTCTCCCTCCTTGGCAAATCAAGGTTTTCAACAGCTTATAACCCTAATAGGCCATAGAGAAATATTTCTTGGCAACCCTTTCAGACTAAGGAGTTCCTTTCATTCAACAAGTATTTTTTACAGCACCCAGTTCTGTGCAGCGCACACTTGATACACAAAAGCTCCTTTCAGGAACCCAGAATATATTTGAGGAGAGAAAATGTGCACCCACAGTCTAGTTCAAAGTGCAAGGCAGTCTGTGATTAACTGACAAAATGCAAAGCCAAGAGTCCAATGCAGAGATGGTAGGAAGTGAGGAAGTCAGGGGGTTCAGAGAGGCTGTGGGGACTTCAGGGGGGAGACCTGAAAATGGGAGTAGGAAGGCATGGTATGATTTGGCTGGGTTTGGGGAGGAAGCGGAAGGTGTGAGGAGCTGTGAGTGTGTGTGTGAGGCTCTGCGGCTGCAGGGGCCCGCTGGCTGGCATGAGTGAGGTGTGCTCAGAGGCTGGGAAGGCATCAGCCTGGCTGGAGCAGCATGTTGATAGGAAAGGAACAATCTTGGTAAACCCTGGGTGATTCAGGCAGAAAATTTCATTCTGCCTTAACATTTGGTGCCCTTCTCCAATAGTGACCACACATCAGCTTCTTCAAGTGACCAGAACTCTCCATCAGACTGTGGGGTTGTGAGGACAAGAACTGGACCTTCCATTTCACTCATCTATTTTCTGATAACTCTGCTTATTTCCCCTGCACACCCGTGTACCTAGGCGGAGAGCTTCATACAAATAAATGTTTGATGGCAACATTACTGGGAGAAGGGTATGCTTCTGGTTTCAGCATCTTCAGCACTGGAATAATACCCTAAAGGGCATCTGAAATGCCCTAATGCCAGTTAGGAATGCTGGAGGGGAACAGAACTGGAATTACTAGGTAGGAAGGAGTCTCTTTGGAGGAGACCCTAAGATGGAACAACCATGTGATCTCTCAGAAAAAACAGAAGTTTTCTATTTCTTGCCTGGAAGAGTCAAGCTTTCCAAAACAGGAGATTATCCAAGTAAGAAAAGTTATTTTTTTTTTTTGAAAACATCAAATCATGGTGACTTTAGGGTCTTATGTGCAGCATAATAGTTTCTGTGTTGCAGAGTTTCAGAGGAAGTATTAATTTTGGCAGATACATAGGTAGAACAGGAGTCTTTTTGAAAAGGGATTTGATCCTGGGACCAACCCAAGGGTTGGCCAGGCTAACAAGAAAGAAAAATGCAAACCTAGATTTTTTTTTTTAAAGGAACAAAATACTACCACCCACTGACTCCATTGCCTCTAGTTACTATTCAAACCTTAGAACTAAATTGAAATATTCATTTATCCGGGACTTTCTCCCAGTCAGACATTATTGGTTGAAGTCATAATTTATTGGGCTACGAGCACTTGATTATATAAACATTTCTCCATTTAACAGACCCAGCCATCCTTGTAATAGATTTTATAATTACCCCAGCTATATTGCCCCAGTGATGAAGCTGCAGTACAAACATAATTTGGAAGAACATATCTGGAAAGAAAAGGGTCTTACCATTGCATCTGCTTTATGCTTCATCCGTTTAGCTTCTTGCATAAAATAATCTGCACTGCGTGGCCTACAGGAGAGAATATTAAATGTCATTATTGTGTAAGCACAAGATCTTTTGAAAATATTCTTCCCTTTTACTCAAACTTGAATCACAATTTTCAAAGTCTGTTTAATATGGAATCAAGCATTTTTGCATTCTCAAATTACTGCCTATATGTGAAATATCACAATTCCTTTTCTCTTAAATTAGCTATTCAAAACACACTCAATATATGCAGATAGTCTACATTTATAGTGATTTTAACATGGTTCCCCAGTGCCTAATTTGTGAATCAGATTTCTTATTGCATGGTTAAGAAAAAAGTAAAAAAATCGTATTTTACACGATATTTGTATACAACAATCCCTTTTTAATGTAAAGATCATAAATATACCTCATAATAACTGTATGGATATGTATGGGCGAGTACGTTTATGTATTCTTATGAAAGTACCTGTCATTTATATGCATAAATGGCACCTACAGCTGTATGTATCTATATATAATTATTTTAGGGCTTCACAGTGAAACATGAAAAGAGGTAATACTGTATCATTATATTCCATGTGTAATGGAGTTAATTGTAAAGTGATGTCTACCTTGTAACAGTGCAAACCTGGCATATATTCTCCAGAGTTCTGATTAGCTGGCTGGTAAACATTAACAGGAGACATGTGCATTATTAAAGCAATAACCCTGGCCAGCAGTAACTCTGCTGGGGGAAGAAGGTAATTCATACGGAGACTGATCTGAGTGTGTGTAATGACCCCCAAGTTATGCTAAGCTACTCATCAGACAGTACCTTTAAATGCTTAGTCTGATAGATTTTTAAAAATCTGCGTACTCTAGGTACCATCAGCATAAGCTTTTTTACATTATGGGTCTTCATATAATCAATAAACTTGACCTATTCCTGAATATCCAATATAAGCCAGGACTCCCCAAACGAGAGGTAAGATGTAAATAGTGATATTAATCACAGACTGACTCACCTATTGTTATATGCTTATTCTGAACTCTCTTCTTTCAGATTCTAATGGGTCTTTTCCTTTACTGCAATATTAGGTTGTCAGAGCATCCTTTTATTCAAAGAGGTCAAAATGCTTGGAAACACCATGCGTACTATGACTATGACATCGCAATCCCAAAAGTTTATCCTCATTTTAATCGTTTTAATCAATCAAATAAACAAACCATGATCATAACAAATAATTAGTTTCAAGTACAAATCACGGAGGTGAGAAAAGGACCTTGGTTTTCTTTTACTTCCCCATAAAATATTGTACTACTGTGGTAATGTGCTGAGAATATTTAACTTTTCCAACAAAGAAAAAAGGAACATAGTTGCAGATTTTCCCATCTCTGGCTCATCATCCCTCTATCATTCTTCTTGCCACTCAGGCCTGAAAACTTTCCTTCATCTCGGGGGGGCGGTCTCTGTGGTGCGGGGGCCTGAGGTGTCCTTCATAGGAAGGCCCTGCTCCTACTGGCTCTGTTTCTCTAGTTCATCTCCTAGATGTTCACACTTCTTCCATTTGAATGGGTTTTAGTTGCTTTTCCATGTGGTTTTCCCTTCCTTGTCCACACATTGACCTTTGAACACATTCTGAATACTGGTCTTGGATTTCAGTTCTGGCAATTTACATTTTTGTTGCTACTGTCCTTGTTTTTTAACGGCCTTTATGTTTCAGAGCAGTTTTAGGTTTACAGCAAAATTAAATGGAAAGTATAGAGAGTTGTCATATACCTCCTGCCCCTTTCCCACCAGCCTCCCTCACCTTCCTTAACATCCCCCACCAGAGAGGCACATTTCTTACAACTGATGAAACTACACTGGTACGTCATTATCACCCAAAGTCCATAGTTACATTAGGGCTCACTCTTGGTGTTGTACATTCTGTGGGGTTTAACAAATGTATAATGACCTTTATCCACCATTATAGGTTCATAGAGAATAGTTGCACTGTCCTTAGAATCCTCTCCATTATTTTTTGTTGTCTTTTTGCTGAATGCCCCGGCATAGAAGACCAGACCCTTATCTCCAGGCCAGACCCAGACCTGACTTCTGAGCTTCAGATGAGTTCCCAGAGCCTATCTGCTCAGGAGAGGAGTTCCGGTATCTTCATCCATTCCTCTTCCCTGTAATCAGATGCTGTGAGCATATCCTCCTTGTAAATATCCTTCCTTTCCTTAGTGACCACATCCACTACCCAGGCCTAGGCTTTCATTACCTCTCCAGGCCTCTAGTTTCATTCCCCTCCAACCTATCCTGAGCTTGAACCCTCGACCAGTGTTTGTAAAACATGGCTTTCATTACATCACCATCCTACTCACAGACCTAAAATCAATCCCCAGATCCCACAGGATCAAATCTCAGTTCAGGCCCCCAAAGATCTTGCCTAACCCCTGGAACTGTACCAGTTACTCATGAAGGCCCTCAACCACAGCCACAGGTGGCTTCCTCACTGTGTCGTTCACATGCCATCTCTTAGAACTGCTCTGCTCCCCCTTTTCCTCTTACCTGGAACACTCTGCTCACTGCGTGCACATTCACTGAGTGCCTTCTATGAGTTAACCTCTCCCCCAAATTCTTACGCCATGAGGTCTTCTTGGTAACTTGGTCCATGCTCATCTCTGTCCTTCCTGGATGCCCCTTCTTGTTTACCCTACATTTTTAGGCATTTAATTACCTCGTGAGCTGTAGGGCTATTGCACCTGGGCAGCTCCGTAGCTGGTACATTTTTCAGCAGGGAATATGCTGTGGACATCTTTGATCTTCCCCACCCTATAGTTTTAGGCACATTGGAGAAGGTACATGAATCCCCCATGAATAGCACTGAATTCATTTTGAGCTTAGAAGAGAGTGGTGGCTTCCGATGGGGCGCAGCATCACAGCCAATAAGCCAGAGAACGTCTCCATGGCAACCTGAAATTCTCCACATCATTATCTGCTCCACACTCTAGTATATGAGTTAGGTCAATTTTTTTCTTGCCTGGTTTGTAGACCTTGTCACTAATAGATCATCATTTCAAATGCATTTCATTTTCATGAAAGGATTCTCCTGGCAATAAGCTATGGCATCTTAGTTTTAACTAGCCTTCTAAGTTACCCTTAGGGATGGTGGCATCTCCTAATTCCTCATATATGTTCCTTCATCAACACTGTTTTCATCTGCAGCCTATGAATGTATTTTTTAGACGTGATACGGAGGCTGAGTCACAAACTCTCACAATAGTGTACGTGGATAAGTAATACATCTGATTTTCTGACTGTATCATAGCAGCTGACACTAACCTGAGATGCTGGAAAAAAATGTACCATCCGGAGGCCATTTACAAACACATTAGTTAGAATTCTCATCTTCGCATGTAATGGAGCGCTCACCACACCGAGTCACTGAACACTGCCTGATGATTGGCTCATTTTCTCCTTTCAGGTGATTTACAGTGCCATGCTCCTAGACCAGAACATTATGGAGGCAGTGGGGCCGACGGGATGCTCTCATGAAGGCATCACTCTGACGTCAGCGTACAAGTCAGGAGGAAGGTAGAACTATGGTCACCACTGGGGCACTTACAGACTATAACTTGGCCAAGGTACTATAATAAAATCTAATTATTTCAGTGTTTAAACAGATTTGTGATCTAAGCTTCTTTTTTTTTTTTAACATGAAAAGCCTAGAGTTTTTGTTTTTCATTTAGATAATAACATTCCTTGTACTGTTTTTTTCTCAGTGATGGTATTTTATGATGATACATCAATAAACCTAACAAAAGTTCAATTAAACATCATACATGTAACTAACTGTGTATCTTGGGCTCTTCAGAAATGGGGCTTGCGAGTGATCCTTTTAAAAGCCACGGCTTAGCCATGTATATCTTTTTTGTAAGAGCTCTCTGCAACAAAAAAGAAATCTCAACACTTGATCCAAATAGAATGTTTTCTTTCTTCTCCTCACCCTCCCACTACCCCACCTATAAACACGCAGCCTTAGTTCTGAGCAGCAACAGGGTCTGAACTACCCCAATATTTCTTCTGGCAGAGGAGTATTAAAGCAACCTTGCTTTTTGTTCTGCTCCATGGCTGAGATCGAGTTGAATGGTCTCCCACAGAGCGGCTGGCAGCCTTCTTTCTGTAATTCCTACCTCTGTGAAATGCACCCCCTCCCCCCCAGCAGAGCCGCCTGTTTTGTGAAAACTGGCAGGGATGGGAGCTCAATGTGTTTGAACAAACAGGTTCCTTGGCACAGCAGAAATCTGGATAATTTTCTTAGGGAAGTTGAAGTCCAAATCAGACAAATAGGCAACTGCATACCAAATGAATTCATCATCCGATATTCTGTCAGCTTGTCATCTGATAAGCCCCATGGGTGTTACTGTGTCCCTCAGCTTTGAAGTACTTTCTTCACAGAGAAGGACGCGTAAGAAGTTAGGTACAGGCACTCCCGCCCTGCTTTCTGAAAGTTTGCGGTATGCCACTTGGCTTTTACGAAAGACCCAGAATGGTTTTTGCTAATCTGAAGAGGATTTTCAGGCTTCCGAAAAAAGCCTTACTGTACTAATGTAGGTCTTTCTTCAAGGTGAAGTAGTGCAAGGCGAGCTCTCAGAGAGCCGGGATACTCTTCACTTTACACAATTTTGGCTTACAAATGGTTTCATAGGAACGCTCTACCTTCAGATAGCGGGGGATCCTGCAATTCTTTTTAATCCACTAAAGTGAACACAACTGAGGAGGGCACTTCAGAGGCGGGGACTCTGGTGGGCTGGTGTTGGCTTTATGAGTGCTTCTTAAGGGAAGCAAGTACACTGCATTTAAGCAGCAAGGACTCAAATGCAGTTTTTGTTTCCATTAGCTTGATGCTGGCTGGGGCCCCAAGGTCTCTAGAGCCTGGCTTCTCAGAAGCACAAGTGATCACTCATCGTGTCTCATACAGGCCATGGGCTCTTCCCCTTGACTGCTTCTTTCCTGGTCATGCACAGAAAACTGTGTTTTCCAGGATGCACAGGCTAAGTGTAGCAGGTTTTTTCATTCAGTCAAAAGCAATTTTCTATTGAAATGGAAACTCATCACTTTGATTGTTGTTCTTCTCTGCATGTGACATTTAACATAAAATAATTTTACAAAACTCTTAAAATGATCAGAGAACTAAGATTTCAATCAGGGAGGTCTGAAGGTGTTGTCCTTCACTACTCCCCACCACCCCAAGTCTAGCCTTTTTCTTTCTCTGTCTCTGTTTCAGTTAGAACAAAATAACTTGGCTGAGAGGCTGGGATCTCAAAAGGAGAAAATTCCATATGAAGAACATAAAGGTGTACTAATGGGGAGCGCCTGGGTGGCTCAGTCGGCTGAGTGTCTGCCTTCAGCTCAGGTCATGTCCTCAGGGTCCTGGGATCGAGTCCTGCATGGGGCTCTCTGCTCAGTGGGGAGTCTGCTTCTCCCTCTCCATCTCCCTCTGTGCTCTCTCTCCCTCTCTCAAATGGATAAATAAAATCTTAAAAAAAAAAGGTGTACTAATGGTCTACCAGGTAAGGTGGGGAAGGGGGACCATCAGGAGAAGAACAATGGCTACAGCAAGCCCTCCGTGGGAGTGCCCTGCCTCAGTGTACTATCACCTCCTCAAGGATTTCAACTGATGTCCTCTGATGAAATCATGCCACAGGAGATCTGACCTTTTATGTACCGGACTCTTCCCATCCTCTATAAAATTAAATCCTTTTAGCTATAGATTGCTGAGCATAATTACATCACAAATGCCAAACCTTCTTCCTTCCCTGCTAGCCACATTTCACACTCCATGGCCTTCAGCGGCACGTGGTTGAGGGAGTCTTTTCTCAGTGTCGGGAGGTGTAAGTAGCTGGGCTCCTGTTACTGGTGCCACGGGGACAGATGGACTGTTTGGTGGTTGCGATGAATGTGATGATCGTGACTGACTCCTCCTTGTGAAATATGGGCAGGAGACAGTACATCCTGTCTGCAGTGCTGGCACTCGGGATTCGCTGGCTTCCCAACACAGCAATATGGCTGCTGGGAAAGGAGACTTGATTTCCCAGCCAAGAATTTCACCACTCAGCTCTGCTCAGGACTTCTGTACCAAGGCCTTCACGACACAGTTGTTCTCTCTCAATGTTCCTGGGCCAAGAACTCCCCTGTCACTAATTATCACACAAAGTAATTTGCAGCTCATGGCTTCGCACTAATAAGATCAGTTTCTAGGCTTTGGGTTGAATCAAATGCTGTCACTCATTGACATAAATTCTTACGGTTTTTTTTTTTTAACAAAAGTTTGGCAATCACATCAGTGTCACCTTAAAACCGTGGCTGTCAAGCTGTGGCTGTCGAGCATGGCTAAATGTCGGGGAGGAGGTGCAATCACACTGCCACCAATCCGAGACTGCAAATTAGGCAGAACAAGCTGACCTGGATCACATTCTTAAAAATAAGTGTTTTTGCGTTTGGTTCCATCTGCGTCCCAAAGACACAAACTGGTGCCTGTTTACTTGGTAAGTAGAACAGGAAAAGGGGCTGAGAAGCCCGTGAATTTAAATTTACCTGCATGTAGATTCCTTATACTCACGGGGGGCGGGGAGAAACTATAGACATTACTCTCCTGGGACTGTTACTCTAATTCAGCTGTGTTCATTCAGCGCTTGATATTAAGTGCCCACTGAATTCAGCTGTTGTCTGAATTGCATGTTTATTCAACCATTAACCAGTATTTATAATACAAAAGGATGAGTTTCCTTTTTTTTCTAGAAGCTACATGATGCGGCTTTAAAAATCAAATGACAGTATGGCATCTGTTCGTTTTTGGATCACTGTAACTGGATTTCTGTCAACTCTAAATTACTCCGGGGTGATTTCTCTAGCTCGCTCTTTCTTTCCCACTGGTGGCCTTTCTGGTTGTCTCACTGCTTGTTGACGCCTTCAGTGAGAAGTCAAGGAAAGTGACTGGAGCCAGGTCCTCGTCTGTCAACGCGGCTGCTTGGGGGGAAAGCTGGTGCAGAACAGAGCGGAGCAGGCGAAGGTGGAAGTTCGGTGGTCCCAAGGCACTTTCCTGGGGAAGCCACCCATGTGCCTCCCTGCGCCCTGAATTAATGACTGAGGGTTCATTAATTGCATATCTTAACTCCAGCCAATGTACCTGGCCCTTAGTAAGTACTCAGCACATACCAACTGGACCTGGGAGACATTCTGTACCAGTTTAGATGACTTCCTAGCCCAGCCATCTCTTAAGGGACACGTATTTTTATTGTTTTAAGGAAGAGACAATGCCTAGTTTTGCTTTTCAAGCTTCAAGGATCCTCCCAAGACTTTCTTAGTTCAGTGGTTGAGTGGCTGTTCAAGTTGCATGTGTATTTTACTTGTTACGGATTACAAATCAATTGGGACACATAGCAATTGGAACATGACATCTATCTCTCCATATGATGGGTATGTAAGAGTGCTTTTTTATTCTATCTATATCCATAAAAAGAGAAACACTTTTATTGTAGCTGTCGGCCAGAAAAATTATACATATTGCTAACAGGATGAACGAATGATAACAGCTTCTTTGTTGACACAGATAGTGAAAAAATTATATTAGCAATAGCCCCGGCAGATTGAGAAACATTTCCTCTTGTAAGTAGTCCAAGAAACTGCAGATCAAAGTACAGCCACTTATAGTTGTTGCTGTTTCTGACTTAGCTTTTTGGTCCATATACTAGAAAGCTCCTTATATGTAAATTTTCCATATGTGTGTTTAATATCATTGTATTAACACATGTGATACCATTGTGTGTGTGTTTAAATATCATGCCCTTAACATCACCTGCTGGAAATGTTGGATGTTTTAAGTACCTTAGGGTCTAATGCACATTGTGTTTGATCACGTTATTAGATTATGACTTCTGAATGCAAACTGCCACGTTGTCATCAGACACAATTATAATCTCCCGTTTTTACAAATGGTTAGAGCTCATGTAGACAGTTTATACCACCAAACCCTAATTATATGTGTACTTGACCGAGGGACTGTCCTCCCATTACATGCACCCACCCCGGGGATTAATGACCACTTCCCTCGCTCGATGCTTAGGGCAGTGGAGAAGCCGAGGGAAGGGGAGGTGGTGAGGGCCAGGAAGAGAGTGTGCTGGGGCTGAATGCAGCTGTAGCCACCATGGGAAGAAGAGAAAAACAGTCGCCCTCCTGGGCCACCCTTAAACTTTCATAAATCCAATTATCTTGGAATGTGTTCAGTAAGTGGAACAAACCAAAAACGTGGATTTGGCTTTCAACTCCCCTATTCTGTGCCCTTAATTAGCTCACTGAAGTCCAAGTATAAATTGAGGACTACAACTTTGTATTCTCATTCTCAAGAAGTCTACAGGGTGAATAAACAGAGTGTGTCTAGGCTCTGGGTCTGAAGTCGGGGCCAGAGAAGACATTGGGTGGAAGATGAGGATCGAAGAGTCATCACCTCTGCACAGATGGTCACCCTCAGGAGATCTCATCTAACTGGGTCTTAGGAGAACCTCCGGGAGAGAGGTGTCATGACTATCATTTTTCCCGATAAGGAAGCTGGGACTCGAAGACATTCAGCACCCTTCCCTTTTTCCAAAGTGGTTTATAGTCTGTCCCCTCAGCCAGACTGTAAGCAATTAGCGGACAGGATGTCTCAGTGCTGCACACTGTTCCACCCCAGGATTTAATGGGGCGCCTCACACAGACATGAACTGGATGCGTGTTAAACAGTTAATGCTGAAAACAGGATTCAAGCCAAACTCTTGAACCCATATCTTCTGTCTTCCAGGCTTGTGCTTGACACATATTTTTTTTCCCTAAGAGCCTAAATAATTTCCAGTACCATTTTATCACTTCTCCTTTGTCATTTTCAGCATCTCAAGAGCATTCCAAGATGTTACTTTTATTTATTTTCTTCTCCTTTTATATTGGTGCTGGGAATGGAAGTAATACTTGGGTTTCAGGCGCTAGGGCTGGGGGGAAGGATGACAGGATATTTTTTTCCTGTATAAGACCTGTTTATGCTATTATAAAGAATATAGCATTTTAGAAGGAAACAAACCAGGAGTGAATTGCTATTATTCTTTGCCTATTATAATATACGAAAACAAAAATGCTTCTCTTTCTGGTGGCATACAACTGCCAACAGCCCAAAATGCAGGTGTGCTCAGAAATGTAAGGCTCATGAATGCCACTTGCCTTAGCTTCCTGACATCTTGGATGCAACCCCAGTATCTCTGGCTGTTGTAGCCTTTCAAAAAGCCCATGAGGACCCGGGGGTGCATTCAAAGTCAAGCTCCAGTTCCCTCTGAGAAGGCAAAACTTACCTGACCCAGTCACACATGTAACCCTCCTGCCCTCAGAGTTTCTGTTTTACCTTGCCCCTCACCACATCAACAAAGAGTCCCCACTCACATATCATCGAAGACAAGTTTCTGCCTCTTGCAGTCCCTGTGGCCGTTGGCACCGGGAGACCATGGCTCTGTCTGTGGCCGTGACTTGTGGAGAATGTTTTCGGAATTGTTGTGAGCGGCTTTCTAAACAAAAAAACAACACACCAGTCTTTCAGAAACAGGCCACCTGGCTGAAAGAGCAACCCACTGCCCTGTGTTCTAGGCTAGAACTGATGATCCCTTCTGTTTATTTATTTTTTTTAAGATTTTATTTATTTGTCAGAGAGCACACAAGCAGGGGGAGTGGGAGAGGGAGAAGCAGGCTCCCCACTGAGCAAGAAGCCCGATGTGGGACTCTATCCCAGGACCCTGGGATCGTGACCCGAGTCGAAGGCAGACGCTTAACTGAGTCACCCAGGCGTCCTGATCACTTGTGTTTAAATGAAGAAAAAGAAATACACGCGTTCCAGTTCTCATGCCGAGGGCTTTCACACGTGTTGTCAAATGTCATTCTTATAACAGTATCAAAAGGGAAGTTCTTAGTGGCCTACTCTCACAGATCCAGAAATTGAGGCTGGCTGAAGTTAAGAAATTTGCCCGCGTTCAAACAGCTACTGTGGATCGGTGACGCCCAGGGCTTAGGACTCAAGCCCCTACTTTTCCCAGCTGGCTAGACCAGTGGTTCTCCAAGGTGAACTTTGCATCAGAATCACCACAGGGTGGGAGGGGGCTGTCAACACACAGACACGGGGACCCCCACCCGTCCAGAGCTGAATTTAGTAGGTGTGGAGTGGGGCCTGAGAACATTGCATTTCTAGCAAGTTCCAGGTGATGCTGATCCAGGAACCAAGCTTTCAGAACTGCTAATTTATAATCCCACGCAAAAGAGAAGTTCTTCCGGTCACAAATGGACTGATCCTCATTAGCTGTCTGTGAAGAATAGGAAAAGCCAAAGGGAATAACTAGAAATTATTTAAAATGTGTTTTTAAAAGGAACACTATTGATCTGTGGAAAAATTAAAAAATCACATTCCCTGGGGATTCAAATATTTATAGAGCACCTATTGTGTGCTAGACCCATGAATCATAAAGCAACTGTCTTTGGTTATGAAATTCAAATGGATTCTTCTGAAGTAATTAAAATGTGATGAGTGTGTACAAATGCTTCTTTTTTTATTTTTTTTTTTAAAGATTTTATTTATTTATTTGAGAGAGAGAATGAGAGATAGAGAGCATGAGAGGGAAGAGGTTCAGAGGGAGAAGCAGACTCCCTGCCGAGCAGGGAGCCTGATGTGGGACTCGATCCTGGGACTCAAGCATCATGACCTGAGCTGAAGGCAGTCGCTTAACCAACTGAGCCACCCAGGCGCCCACAAATGCTTCTTTAAATATGCACTGATTTTATGTGCAGGTCAAGCCTCTTGGTTGTAAGTGCCCCTGGGCCTCGGCATTTCCTTTTTGGCATTCACGGTAGTCATTACCGATGTGTGTGATTTCCTGTCTATGTCATTCTCCCCAGCTAGACTGTGAGCTTCACACAGGCACACACTGCATCTGTCAGGTCCATCACTGGATCTCCATTGCTTGGCACAGTGCCTGGCACACAGTAAATACTTGCTCAATAAACATCTGTTTGGTGAAAGAAAGAATGACTGAATAAAGTCTGTAATTGTTTTACAATTCTCTAGACATCATGGTTGCTTTTATATTAGGGTCTAGAGGTGAAAAAACGTTTGTGTTTTAATTTAATTGGTAATTTTTTATTCCAGGTTTTTCTAGTAGGGTCTTCTCAGGTTCTTTGAGCCTAGAATTAAAGATAATTGTTCCCAAATAAGGGTGCATCAGTCGGTTATTAATTTCCAGATGTTACAAGATTTCGGCTCTTGCAGGATCTTCTACCCACTATTTTACCTCTTTAATTCATGGGATGGAACATTAAATACTGCTTCCCCCTCTTTGCAGAGCCCTATTCTCATGTCTCATCTCTCTCTCTGCCTCACAAAGCCCCGCTGGTATTGCTAGCATGGTGGTGACCTGAGAGAACTTGGGAGGAGGGTTTGGAATTAAATAATGTGCCCCAGAGGATGCATGGTCCACGGCCACCAGCTGTTAGAAGGAATGGCCATAAAGAGGAACTAACATGTAGTGTTAGTTGCATGGGTATCCATAGGTGTCGGTTCTTCAGATAATACTGGCTCAATTTAAATCTTCTCACCACCATTTTGCAAATGAAACTGGCTCAGAGAGATGAAGCAACTGGCCGAAGTCACATTTTGACTAAGATATGAGGTTAGACAGACTGTGGAACCCAGTCCCCAGCCCTTCCCTAGGGCACCGCAGGCAGCTGGAATCACCCCCTGGCAAGGTTGCTGGAAAAGGGGGTGGTGGCTGGGTCCCACACTTTGGCCACTACACTGGTCACTGAGATTGGAGTGGGAATCCCATAGTTTTGGCCTAGGGTTTCAGTCCCAGATTTAACTCTGCCCTGGGGCAAGGAATCTTTCCAAATGAAAAAGCTGGCTGGTTGGTCCCAAACTCCCAATTTACAGTGTTTCCAGATAGTACTCCTTTGGCGCCATTTCTCTTCAGAGTGGGAAATGCAATCCTACAAAGAGGCTTACAACGCCTCCTCTGGTTTCTTCTGTCGCTCTCTGTGGGAAGAGGTAATGGGGCGTGCTGGTTCACCAGGTCTTCCCAGAGCAGCATTTAGGGATTCTTGTGGGACCTCAAGCACACGTTTAGACTGTGCTGGGCTAGAGACAGATGAGTGTAGGGGTGTGCTCAATTTCATTTTTATTTTTATTGGGAAAGTTAGAGAATCAACATACCGTGAGGTCTCCGGCATGAGACTGCAGCTGGTTCTCAGCCTTATGCTTTTTGTTGGAGGATGCAGAAGTGAACGAGCCACTGCCATTCGATCTGCTGGAAGAAGTTAAGTCCTCGCTGGAGTATTTGTGTTTAGATGCATCCGATAGGGGTGAGATGGGTGACCGGAGCATTTTTTCATTTTTATTTATTGGTATTGCCAAGCTGAAAAAGGAAATCACAGTAATGGGTCAGCACAGGGAGAGGTAAATGTTTTATATATGACCCAAACCTCCCATTTAAAATCTATAGGTAGGAGGGCGTTTATTGGGAATTATTATACCAGGAAACAATTTTATGGCCTTAGGACCATAAAAGACAATAAGTACATTTTACTCATTGTTTCCTTACTTGTCTTATCAGGATGAATAATAATTCTGTTGTTAAATGACTAAGACTAATAAGACTTTCATTTTTCTGAGTTTTTCATCCAAGGATCTCAAAACACACAACAACTTACTATTTTCCCAACAAACCTAAGCAGCAAGTAATGGGAAAGTCAATCACATGATATATGAATTCTCCACCTCTAAAAGGACTTTTGATAACACCTGAGTTTGTACTAATTATTATATGAAGAATAACAGAATCACAGAATAATCTGCAAAGTGTGAGGCCAACTTTCAGTTGTTAGGTTTCTGGGCTAACCAGATATTGATCAGAATACACACAGAATAGAAAACTGTCATTACAAGTTACATTTTCTGGGGGCGCCTGGGTGGCTCAGTTGGTTAAGCCTCCAACTCTTAATTTCAGCTGAGGTCATGATCTCATGGGTTGTGAGGTCGAGCTGCACACTGGGCTCCGCACTGGGTATGGAGGCTGCTTAAGATTCTCTCCCTCTCCTTCTGCCCCTCACCCCTTCTAAAAAAAAGTTAAGAAACTGAAACAGACTCATAAATACAGAGAACAAACTGGTGGTTGCTGGACAGGAGGGGGTTGGGGGAAGAGGATTAAGGGGTACAAACTTCCAGTTATAAAATAAATAAGTTGCGGGGATAAAAAGTCAATAATACAGTAATAATTTTGTATGGTGACAGATGGTGGCCACACTTATCATGATGAGCATTGTATTCACTATGTACACAAATGTTGCATCACTATGTTGTATACCTGAAACTAACAAAATATTGTATGTCAACTATACTTCAATTAAAACAAAAAAAAAATCACAAATGAATAAAACTATTGTCTATGCCTGAATATAAATTCCTCCCCCGCACAATTAACCATCAAAGGGAGTCACTTATATTTGAATCTTTGCAATGTATGTTATATTGATAGGCCTCTCTCCATTACTTTACCCTGAAAAAAAACTGAGGGAAGATACATTAACCTGAAATAATCTCAAACATTGCTAATTTGGGATGCTCACAGAAGTCACTTGACAGAGTTAGTTAAAAAAGAGTAAATCCATTTAACAAAGACTTAGTCACTATTCCTGCAATTATTACATCTTAATTGCATGTGCTGGCTATCACTACAAACAAGCCATTAAAGTCACTTCAAAAAGCAATTTCCTTAGTTGGTGGTCACAGTGTAGAAATTACAAACCCAGGCTTCTAGAATAGATAATAAAGCCAAGGTTCTTAAAGTAACAAGGTTCCTAGTGTTATGCAAATAGATCTGTGTAGGGATAGAGCTTCTGGTGATAGATTTCTGGTTCAAAAAGTACTGTGCGTCTAACAACCCAGAAGTGAGAAGATGTGTTCTGGAAAACTCCCTTAGGCAAATCAAAGGCTCAGGGATGATGAAGACACTGATGTTGTAGATGTGAATAGTTTGTACATAATTGTGTCTTGACATGTGAGTGAAGAAAGTCTTATTTCCAATATTTTTTTTTAAGATTTTATTTATTTATTTGATAGAGAGAGACACAGCGAGAGAGGGAACACAAGCAGGGGGAGTAGGAGAGGGAGAAGCAGGCTTCCCGCTGAGCAGGGAGCCTGATGTGGGGCTCAATCCTAGGACCCTGGGATCATGACCTGAGCTGAAGGCAGACACTTAATGACTGAGCCACCCAGGCACCCCAAGAAAGTCGTATTTCTAAATCATATTATGTGATTTGAAATGTTCATAGAAAACCAAATTATTACATTAAATATTGTCATGGACATAGGATTATTTCTCCTTTATCATTATAAGTTTACATACTCAACTTGACCAAAAAAACTTTCTTTGGATCTCATCTTTGGGATAGGTGATCCCTTTATACACATTCCTGAGGTATTTCCTAGACCACCTTTCCTAGAAAGAACTCAAAGCACTTTTATATGCAAGGGTCATTATGTAACATAAATAAAGCTGTCGGAGCTGGAGGCAAGAGCTTTTATCCTGGGGTCCGTGAACTTGGATGGGAAAAAGTTACAATTTCTTACTGAAATGGAACATTTCCAGAGTAGTGGTTTAGCAGGAGTGGTGTTAACAATGCCTGTGATTGAATCATCAGCAGGAAATCACAGATATTCTCATGTCATGTCACAGTGGTTGCGGACATTTTGAAATATTGTTTATACTCGTATTCATCGCTACTTCGATATTACGGCAGTTACTAGGATCTACTAGAAAGGTTTTTAGTGTATTAACAAAGCACGTTTACAACTATATCACGCATTTAGTTATTTATTTTTTTAAAGATTTTATTTATTTGACAGACAGAGACACAGCGAGAGAGGAAACACAGCAGGGGGGAAGTGGGAGAGGGAGAAGCAGGCTTCCCGCGGAGCAGGGAGCCCGATGCGGGGCTCGATCCCAGGACCCTGGGATCGTGACCTGAGCCGAAGGCTGACACTTAATGACTGAGCCACCCAGGCGCCCTTTATCACTAATTTAAATGACGTTTTGGAGGCACATTGCTCTTATTTACATTTCCCCAGTATTCTGGGGTACCACCCATTAAGCACAGAGCACTGCGGGCTAGGCCAGCTTGCACGCGCACTCTCCCTCTCACTCAGACCTTCAAGGGCCCTCGCCTTCCTTCCCAAGGTGACTCTCACACTGCAGTGGGCCTGTGCTCATGTGCCCTCACTCTCCAATTTCCTCTCGGAGGTTTAGTACTGCTCTACATCTTCTCCTAACCTTTCCGTTTACATTTTTATGTGTTGTGCTGAAACATTAATCTCCCCTTAAAAATTCTATGTACACAGTCAGGGAGAGTGAGGAGTGTCTTAGCAGAGGAAGAGTGGTTTCTGAGCTGTGGTATTTCTAAATGCAAAGAGCTTCTATAACTGATGATAAGCTCAGTCTCGGGGGTGGGGTAACCGGGTGATGGGTATTAAGGAGGGCACGTGATGTGATGAGCACTGGGTGTTCTATGCAACTGATGAATTATTGAACTCTACCCACTTCTAATAAATATCGGGGACCTTGCCTTGCTAGAAAGCCATTTGTCACAGAGGGGATTTGGTGCAACGTGGCTCCATCCGGAACCCCTTTAGAGGAGTGACTGGGTGCTGTTTAACCTTGGAGACACAGATCCTGTCTACTGCCATGATTTTAGTCTCTCTCCAAGAGATACCACTCAAACTTTACATTTTTTCATCCACGTAATAAGCTTAGTGTTCTTATGGGTTTGGTGGCTGTTAAAATAAGGGTTTGAAAATTCAGTTACTGAGTTTTCAGAGGGAAGGTGTGTCTTTGAGAGCACAGAACTGAGTATAACTAGTAACCGGTCCTTTGTTACAAAGGAGTGCTGACAGTGCCCTTGGGGTTGTGACAGGAGCACACATCCAGGCCTAATTATTAGCCTCCGGTTAAATCAAGGGAAGCAAGTCTAAAGACCCAGACCAGAGCAGTCATTAAGAGATCTGACTCTCCTCCAATCTGGTACCTGCCTTTCGGACCCAGAGATCCTTCGGCCTCTCCTCTACCTTCAATGGAACACGCATACCTGTTGATGTTCATGCTGCAGTGGTTTGCAGATAAAGTATTATTGGCAGAGGTGGTCAGTCGTGAAGAGCTCTCTTTCTCTCCCTGGGCCTTCTTGACCTCCCTGTAGTCGTCTTCGTTGTCACACTGCATGGAAATAAGCAAAAACCAATCAGCTTTGGATTTCAAGGGATCAAAATGAGCCCCCATCACAACCTTCCACAGAGCAAGGCCTCCCACGAGACCACCTCACTCGGCTTCTCCGGAGAGCATCCCAAGCAGGAATGTGGTTGCGGTGTTCTTCTCCCTGTTCTAGGTTCTTGGTCAGCTCCTCAACCGACAAGGATGGAATCTATCAGTTTTACTATTGACACTTTATTGAGAGGAAAAGCATGACACCATGATCAACATTAGAGAGGGAACACTGGGAATGATGAAAATTGGTCTACCATCAACACATCTGATTTTGCTCTCCAAAGACGACCTCTACTGAGTTCACACTGTACCCTCAATGTCTCTCATTTTGGCATTCATTCCTTGGTATCTGAATAAAGTATAAATACCATATCCTGGGGCTTAATGCCATAAAGGCAATGATAAACCTAGACCTTTTGAAATTTATGGCTTTTATGAAGTTCAAGCAAAGGTTGTTACCTCTTGCTTGGTGTCTTAATTTTAGTTAACAATTACCATCCCATGACATCTTAGAATGCTTAATGTATCTTTTTATAAAATAGTATTATGCTGAGCGAAATAAGTCAATCAGAGAAAGACAATTATCATATGGTTTCACTCATATGTGGAATATAAGAAACAGGGCAGAGGACCGTAGGGGAAGGGAGGGAAAACTGAATGGGAAGAAATCAGAGAGGGAGACAAACCATGAGAGATTCTGGACTCCAGGAAACAAACTGAGGGTTACAGAAGGGAGGGGGTGGGGGGTCGGCTAACTGGGTGATGGGTATTAAGGAGGGCACATGATGTGATGAGCACTGGGTGTTATACGCAACTGATGAATTATTGAACCCTACATCTGAAATTAATGATGTGCTACTCTAAGTTGGCTAATTGAATTTAAATTAAAAAATAGTATTTCAATGAAATTCTTGTTTCCATGATTGTATTTAAATATTATACATGTATTAGGGTAAAATACAAATGCACTCAACAAAGTTCCATCGATGGTGAGAAAGCAGGAACACAGTAACAGTATATTCAGGACTTTCAGCAGTGTTTTCTAGGAGACAAGTGCTGGCTTCAAAGATAGAAAGATTTTGACCTTCTCTCTCTAGCTGGGATTGTCACACAGCCTCTGTCACAGAATCCCAGATACTCACACTGCATAGGGACCCCAAGTGACCCCAAACCGAAGCTCTGAATCCCTAGTCTTCTTCTCTGGGGTTATAGCAGGGCTAGACTCTGAGCCTTTGGCAGCCAGGTCTATGGTACCGGGGTGTTAACACCCCAGATGCCCAAGTGAAGATTGCTGTGAAAATGTTCTTTCACTTCTCTGTGTCTGTACTTAACGGTGATTCATTAGATTTTAGAGGAGGGCTAGGTGTCAGGCTTAGTGTAAATGAAGCTTCATAAGTTAAAAATCTTAAAAAAGGCCATAATAAAATTGCTTAAATACAGAATATTATGGAATTTATATGTATGTCTTTCTGCACATCTATTTATGTATGCTTATATAGCTATATATATTTCCAATCTATGTTTATCAATTTCTAGCTATGCATATTTCTTATATAACAATGTTTTTCTCTGCTTTCTTTCCATCAGTCTATCCATTTACCCATTAATCCCACAAGTAATGAGGATGGCAGGGTATCTCGAGGGAAGAGGGGTAGAGAAGTAGTGAGCTAGCCCATATTACTGAATTATATGGTCTGAACCTGATAACACCTCTGCAAAGATGTCACCATTTCACAAATGAAGAAACTGAAGTATAGAGAAGGTAAGGTCACCCGATTAAGGCTACCCAGGAGGCCGGGGCCAACTACATAATTTGCAGGGTTCAGTGCAAAATGAAAACACTGGGCCCCTTGGTCAAAAAGCAGGAAAAGATCCTTGACATTGGTCTTGGCGATACTTTTTTGAATTTGACACCAAAACCAAAGACAACAAAAGCAAAAATAGACAAGTAGGACTGTATCAAACTGAAAAGCTTCTGCACAGCAAAGAAAACCATCAACAAAATGAAAAGGCAACCTACTGAATGGGAGACGATATTTGCAAATATATATCTGATAAGGGGTTAATATCCAAAATATATAAAGAACTCCTTACAACTTAATAGCAAAAGCACAACCCAATTAAACAACGGGCAGAGAATCTGAACAGACGTTTAGACGCCATGCAAATGGCCAACAAATGAATATCGTTTTGTAATATATACAAAAACTGAAACTAATATGTTACGTCAATTATAACTCAAAAAATAAACTGAAGAAAAAAGCAGGAAAAGAGTAATGTTATAAAGTACTAAAGTAGAAAACATTTTCCTGTCTGTCAAAGTCTCTCTCTTGACCTGTCATGATGGTGTTTAATTACCATTTCATACAGTGTTCCTTGAGGCGTGGGGATATGTGGAGGGTGCAGGCAGACTGAAGGGCCTGGGGTGGCCCTGTGACTGTACGCACGCATAGGCCCAACAGTAGTTTCCCCCTGCCTGCCAGGTATATAGGGGTAGGGAAGTCCAGTCAGGCATTTCCCCTTTCCACAGCTCACCCCCCAACCCAAGGCGAACCTGCAACCCCTAGGAGATTGCAGTCCCCCGTCTGAGACCTCTCAGGTCCTGGATGAGGGCTGGGTGAGATGCTTATCTTGACCTGCCGGCGCCTTGGCCCCTGGAGAGCTTAGGGGAGAAGCACAGGTCCCTGGAAGGAGATGGGGACCGGGAGGCTGCACAGGGCCTCTTTCTACACCATGTTGCCAGAATTGTTTCAGTATGGGAGTGATGATGGAAACTTTTCCTGTAAGCTGTTTGGCTAACTTTGGAGTGTCAAGGGGCCAAAGGGCTGGCAGAAGCCGTGCTGCGGAAACAGGCAGGAGGCGGGACCACATGCGAGTCAGAGCTCCACGCCCCCCCACCATGTTTTCTCGTCCCATCACGCTTCACTTAAAAACACAAATTCAGAGATAAAATGAATTTCAATATGGCACCCTCAAGCACTGAATTCCAAGCATAGAGCCCTTCTGGGCAGGGGCCCTGTGGGGAAAGTACCTCACAGTCCTCAGACCAACATTTTATTGGGAGAGCCCGGAGCCAGACAACCCGGGTTCCTTCCTAGCTCTGCCCCTTATCCACTGTGGGAACCTGGGGCAAGATGCTTTAGGCTCTCTGAACTTCAGTTTCCTCACCTGTAAAACGGGCGTGACAAAAACATTTGCCACATAAAGTTGTAAGGACTGAATGATTTAATAGGTCCAAAGTGCCTAGAGTAGCATCCCTCATGGGGACATCATAGATACGTTAACTGTTGTGAATGATTTTGTCCTCAATTTGGAACCATCCATGATAGTACGATCTTTGGTTTGTCACCCCCTGGTGTTTTTCGCTGTGGCCCAAGTTGCTTTTGAAGGTAACAGTAATGGGAGGGGCTCAAACCCCACAAAATTGGCTTTAATTTATGAGTAAGTTATTCCTGCCCTCAAAGGTCTGCAAATACGGCTGAACAGCGGGGGCTGCTTCCAGATGGGGAGCCAGCTCTCCCGACACTCAAACCACTTTTCTTACTCCATGCCTTCCTGGTGCACCCTGTTGCCCTTTTTTTGGTGCCACATCATCCCTGGCTCTGACTGCTCCATGCTCGTCCTCCTCAGGGCTCTGTTCCCAGCCCCTCTCCACCAGAGAGTTCTCCTTGGTCAAGGCAGCAGGCTGGTGCTCTCCTCCCTGGGCCTGTCCACCCAAGGCCTAGCAGCCGGCACTTCTATTTCCTACGTCACCCCAGTGACAGCCTTACGCTCGATGAGGCTGTTGGCTTCTTGGGTCCATGATTGATCAATGTCACCCTGTCCCTTCCAGCAAAGAGTGAGGGGCACCACGTGTTTAGCTTTCTACTGGCCCAGCATGCAGCTTGCCTCTGCACACACTCGATAAGGATTTCCCATATGCCTGCTTCAACATGCAGTGGGACAGGCCTGAATTATCTATAATGATAAAATGGACTATGAACGGTGCTTCCCCCATCAAGCAATTCTAAAGATTTAACGGAGTTAATCTGTGTCAAGTACTTAAGTATGTGGCATGCAGGAAGTACTCTAGGAATGTTTGTTGAGTAAGGACACATATAAAACTCTTGCTGCCTGTCCCCTGCAGACCAGCGGCCCCTGTGGGCTTCAACACTGCCCCACAATTTAACAGCAAGCCCTTCCTCCCTCACCAGGCCCTCAGCCCCAGGCCTACCTTGCGTTTCCTCTTGGATTTTGGCAAAGCCTTTTCGGCAGGAGTGTCAGATGGATGGCTTGGCTGTGTGCTCTCCGTGTCCTTGGCTGCAGGGGCATTCAAGACCCCGGGCTCCTGGGGCAGGTGTTCTGGGATCCTGGACAGGAGGGTCAGGTCAATTTTGACCCAGAGAGACCTGACCTCATCACTGTCCTTCAAGGGGGAGAGAAGTTCGTTGCGGCCGAAAGGGACCAGCGTGTAGAACTGTTCCTCCAGCTCCTTGGCAATGTCACTGGTGGTCCTGGCGTTGATGGAGCCTACAGGGGCCCTAGGGCCGCCGCCACTGCTGATGCTGCTGGCCGCCTCTTTCAGCCTCTGGTCACTCCCCGAGGAGGCGGCGGCGGCGGCGGCCACAGCCTGGGCTTTGCACAGAGGATACTCCTCCTGCTCAGACTCCAGGTCCGAGTCCGAGGAGGAGGAGGAAGATGACGACTCGGTCTCTATGAACTCCTTGGATTTGGGGACGATCCTGCTCAGCCCGCGCGTGCGGCGCTTCTCGCAGGTCACCGAGGAACGCAGCTCCTTGCGGTGGCTCGTTCTGCTGTTGCCACAGGGCCTGGTTTTGGTGGGCTCCGGAGGGATCACCACGCTCGCCCCCAGAGAGTCGGCGGCCGCGGGCTCCTCGGGCCGGTGGCAGTTGGTGCTGTCCCCGGCGGAGGTCCTCTCGGTGCGCCTGGTGGGCTTCTTTCCCGCAGACCTCCGGGCGGGCGCGGGCGCGCTCTCGGCGGGCGCGCCCGGCACGGCGGGCGGCTGGGCAGCGGTAGTCACGGCCACGGCCACGGCCGCGGGCGGGGACTTCTGCTTCACTCCTTTACTCCCCGGGGCCTTGTTCGCTGTCCTTGGCCTCTGCTCCTCCTTGCAGGCGCTCTTGATGTCCTTCTCTCTCAGGCTGGTTTGGCAAACGTCGGGAAGTTTCCCACAGTCCTGCACTTCCTCTTTCGCTGGAGTGTAGTATTGATTGCTCTCTGGCCCGTGGCTTTCATTTTGGATCAGAATAGGCGGCTTGTGGGGATTAACTTTGTTTAGCCATTTATCCAGCTGCCACTTGTTAGAGGATGCTGGTTCAGCCTAAAAGCAGAAAACCGGCAACAAACCAAACATCTTTTATTAGACTCACTTAAAAGAGGCTTGGCTGTTTTTAATCTTCACTTACTACCCTAGGTGTATGAACGGGAAACCAATGGGCTGCAAGCAAAAGGAAAATGGAAGCAGTAGGTGTGTGTAGCCATGGCTGGCCTGGCACACGGGAGGCAGGGGTGGTGTCCCTTTTCTGTCCCAAGGCACTTATATGACAGCGCAGTAGTATGAAGCCTATTTGGCAAAAATAAGGGGATAACCCTGTGCTTCATTAGAAGATATTTCCAGCACTTTTGAGTGTTATACAATGTATATATTTTTTATAATTTTTCATATGTACCTAAACTTGAGATCCCAGGAAAGTTAACTGGGGAATAGTATGAAGACCCTGAGTGTTAAAGCACTCATTTTTCTGTAAGACTGAAAAATTTAGAGGAAATTAAAACAGGGGACTAAGTGGAACCTATAATCCCAAGCAATTAACATATAATTTACGTGGTGAAGGCAAGTAGGGTATAGTAATTTAACAGTAGAAGCAATAACTTTGGGGGGATGGCTTGTTTAGTGGCTGAGAACTCCTATTTCAAAGGGAGCTCTGTGTGCCCCATGTTCTTTCGTAGCTGGACTTGGTTAGTCCGTCCTCAACCTGCTTCTTTCCCACTTTGCTGGGAATGTTTCAGAAATGGAAATGACGATGGAAACTTTTCCTGCACGCAGTTTTGTTAACTTAGAGCAAATCACGGATACTGTAGGTTTTACACTCTGCCCCATGGATTGGTTCCAGGGAGTCAGGGAATGCCCTGAATCAGAGTGCTGTGTAGATGCATTTTTCTAAGAGAGAGGTCCACAGTTTTCATTCAAGTCTCTAGGGATCTATGGCTCATAAAAAGGTTAAGAATTGATGATTTTACAGAGAGTAAATGCTGTTGATTTCTAATACAAGTCCATTTTTCCAGCATCTATGATTATTAATAGAAAGGAAGTGTATTGGTTAAGTGTAAAGTTTTAGGCAGAGTGTTTTCTATTTGTGACCATATGTCACATGGGGAAAATATTTTGGCTATTTCAAGTGATGTATTTTTCCTTCCCTGTGGCCTCCCACCCTCTGAATTTCTGGCATCCATTGTTTCAGGAGACTAGTTTCCAGCTTAGAATAAAGAAGACATTGCTTGCCTTTGCATTTAAACTGGATTGGTTAAAGTCCAGAGCAAAGCATGCTCCCTTGAAGGAGAAAAACTTTTTATTTTTTTAAACATAAATAATTTCCTAAAGCTTGCTTTTATGTGTCAAAATTTGTTTTTCAACGGTGAGGTCCAGATTAAGAGCAGAACTTGGGGCATAAGCCCATGCAGCAAGGGTCTGAGTGGAGTGGAACAGCCAATGTCTTGGCCCCGGCTGGGGCTGGACATAGCTTCGGACCTGTGAAGCCTCTGATGGGCCAGAGGGCCCTGGGGCCAAAATGAAGAGGACACAGAGTGTGGGCACCAGGCCCTAGAGCTGTGGCAGGGACCATGGACAGCCTGCTGCTTCCCCCAAAAGAGATGAGGCCAACTGTACTTCAGGGAACACCAGCACAAGGTGTTGAGTGACTGGGAAGGACAAGCGACATTCAGTGGAGGCCAGCATGAGAATCTGGGGCCCTTCTCCCAGGGCAGCGAGGATGGAGAGGCTTCACCCTGGGATGTAGGTAGGTATGGGAAGGGAAACCCTCAGGGTCCCCTACGGGGAGGCCGACCTTCGACTTGACTTTTCTATGTTTTTATGTACCAAAAGGACCAGGGCAAGATGCAAGAGAACAAAAGGTTATAATTTTGCACCTCTAAGTTGCTCTATATAAATTCTGACCTCACTTTATTTTGGCCTCTCCAGAGAAAGGGAACACAGGGACCCTAAGAGCACATCCAGTCCATACTGCAATGGGAGATGCATGCAATAGAGAAAGCAGGACAGCAGGACACAGAACAGCTCTGTTGCCAAGGGGAAGGTCTCACCTTCCCTGGGATTAGCTGAGTGTAGCCGAAAGCGAATCTGGTGGCAAACAATTTACGGCTTCTGATAGTGTCTCCTCCCCACTCCACTTCCCTCCCTACATGACCACGGGCAGGTCGGTGACTTGTGTGCCTCTGCTGCCCTAGTGTAATGGGACACAGTTGATATGAATGGATGCTGAAGGGCCCTCTTGCAAAAAGGGGACATATTTGGGGAGGGGGTGCAGAGCAGACGCTCACACGGGCCCTGCCGCCATGTTTAACACTAGCTCACCCTCACCCCCACCATCGTGGGCCTTCCACAGCTCACGTCTTGGGTGAGAGAACACAGACAACTGCACTAAAACCCCCCTATGGGAGCACTGACAGTGAAGGGGAGAATTTAATACATTTAGTATAGGCCCATTGCCTGATATGCTTTAGGGTCATTTTTTTCTGCACTTCACAGCTGAAAAAAATCAGTCCAAAGTACCATTTTCAACACATCACTAAATCACACTACCTTTCTTAAGGGTCTACAAGGACCTCCTCTTGCCTCTCAGAAGAAATCCAAATGCCTCGGGCTGGTTTTTAAGGGCATCTTTCATCTTACAGTCATCTTTCATGGCTGAACATCTACAGTGTGCCCCCCACTTTACAGATATCATCTAATTTAATCCATACAGATAAGAAATATTTTCATTTCCAATTTGTAGATGAGGCTCAGAGAGGTTCAGTGACATGTCTAAAGCTGCAGAGCTACCAGGCACTACCCATATCTAAGTCCATATCTATCTAAGTTTAAAGACCAGAGTCACATAGCATGATGCTTAAACTTGTTGAATCACTATGTCGTACACTGAAACTAATGTAACATTGTGTGTCATCTACACTCAAAAATAATTAAAAAAAAAAAAAGATCAGATTCTCTCTCCTGCTGCTTTGCCTAATCTCCCATTACTTACTGGCATAGCCTCATGAAAGGGGGACCTCATTCCTTTGAGAAATGTCGGTTTTCAACCTAAAATGACAGAATTAGGTCTAATTTTGGAGAACACCACTAACTCTCCAAACAATACCTGTTGGCCTTTATTATCCTCAACTGCATAGTCTTTTTTTTTTTTTTTAAGTGAATAGTCTTGTGATATTCATATTCATTTCACATGCATACATCTTGGGTCTTCAACAAAGCCAAACATTTCCTTCCGGGGGGGCCAGGACTCTGTTTCTTTGTATGGCTTGCAGTGTCTGTAATAGGGTAGGGAGGCCAATTGCTGTGACTTTGCTCCTTGTAAGAACACCTTACAACAGGGTTTTGCTCAAATCATATCATTTATTCCTCAAAACAGCTTCACAGATTAGGCAGGACAGGACTATCTGCCATTTTGGGGCGGAGGAGGGAAAATTCAGGGCTTGGGACTGTCATCCACTGGCATGCTGCTTGCTGGCTGTGGTCGACTTCCTGAGGGTTTCTGCCCGGTGTTGTCTGTTTGCTTGCTGGCTGCTTTGTATTTTCAGCCATGACTCTCCTCCCTGATTAATCTTCCCTTCCCTCTGATTCATGCACAAGCTTTCCACCGTGGACTTGAGTCCCTGCTTCATCCATATCCTTCACAGCACTCACTGCCATGTACCCCACAGATGCCTAATTAAGGAGAAGCCTGTTCAATCAATGAGTGACTTGCATCACATTTCTGCTCATTTTCAAGAATGGTCTAGGGCCCCATTTTCCAAAATGAGCGTTTGGTTCATATATTCCATGAAGAAAGATTCCATGGTTAGGTAAGTTTGGGAAATGCCGCATTGGAAAACAGTTTACATGAGCAATAGTAAGGGCTGGGTGATGCCCTAAGGAGATGGATTAACCTGACTTTATCCTGACACTCCTCAAAATCACGTGACCAGGCTCTCTGTCCCACACAGCATCTAATACTTGAGGAACGCTGCTCTAGGGAGTTCCGAGTGCTTGTGTATGTGTGCTAGCTGAGGCGGAAGGTTCTCCCCTCTGAATGCTCTGACAGGAAAGGATGCACCACACTAGGAAAGAAGACAAAACTCCAGTGAAGAAAACTAGGCTGAGAACAAGTAAGCAAATATCAGGCTGTAGAGAGGGGATCTGTAGTGATGGAAAGAGTTTACAGCGGCTCTTCCGTGCTAGCTGCAGATAAGACACTACCTATGCGATTCATGTAAAATGCAGTGGCTTTCACAGCCATGAAGAACGGTTCAGATGAAACTCAGCTGGGCCCAGTGGGTTTCCAGTGCTGGCACACCGAAGGGGAGCATGCAGGTGCCTTGGAACATCATGGGCATCTCCTTCTACTCCCGCAGCAGGATGGTACCAGGAGGGGAGTGAGGGCCAGGAGCATTTTGCTGCAAAGCAGCAGCATGAGCTGTCTGGGCAGTGGAACGGGAGGTGTGTGTATATACAGAGTCTGACTGTCTCGTGGAGGGTCAGGAAAACGAGTCTCACCACTGTCCTTAAGGTGACCCGGGCTGGCTCAGTCCCGGTAGAAGAGAGGCGCTGGGGAGGGTCAGCCATATAATGCTACTTCCTGTCTTCATGATTTTCGTTCCGCAAACTCATTTTATTTCTAAAGGGTGAATGTCTGTATTAATGTTGGGAAAATGTTAAAAGTAACCTGATCCATTCCATTCCAGTGGAAGGAAGTACCATGCGGCATGGCTAATACATCGCTTGTCACTTCTGCATTCCCTCCGCATAGAGAAGCAAGAATCGAAAACTCTGTGGCTTCAGGCAACTTAAACTTTTCAGGCCGCTTTACTAGACTTGCTCTCCCTCTCTTTGGCCTCTGAGAGCGGCTGGAAGCTCGCTCAACAAGAGCTTCATCACCAAGGAGTTCAAGTCTTTGTAATTATTCCAGTGACATTTATAAGGAATGTGCTTCAAGCACTTTTTAACTGTACTTCTCTGGGACTAGGTTTAGCCAGTAGCTCCAGGATTTACATTTCAACATGAAAATAAGACTCAACATTCATGAATTTAACCTTCAAAGTCACAAAGAGACTGGAGGAGGGGAAGGACTATTCATGGACACATAATAGTTTCTATGCATCTCCACTGGCTCTTGCGATGTCTCTGGTACCCAGTTCTTATAACTAAATATTCTGGACTTTCTCAACAAATTATAGCATATAGCTGGCTTCAATGAATCCTGTTTAACACCTATATATATATATTTTTGTTTCAAATTCTTCCTATTAGAATGTCAGTTCTCTGAAGACAGGGAGCTTTTCTGTCAGATAACTGCTGTCTTCCAAGGCCAAGCAGCAAGTCCGTGGCAGATGCTCAGTAAATATTTGTTGAATGAACACTAAATGAGTGAATGAATGAAATTATGAAGAAGGAATAATAATTTAGTTTCTTGGAAAGTCAGTGTTGTATCAACTAACAGGTTAATGTTGCTAAGGGCCTTCCCCTTATATTGGTAGACAGAGAGAGAAATAGAAAGAGGGGTTGGGGGGAGGAGGTGAGCATTATGGAAAGGAGAAAAAAATGGAAGAGAGATGAAGAGATGGCTGGTTTTAGGATGAATGGAGAGCTCCCAGTGCAGAGCAGAAAGGTGCTGAAGAAGGAATGAACAGTGTGGGGAAATTCTCAGTGCTTTCTGCAAAAGGCCTCAGCCTCCTGGGAGGAGACCGGAAGGGGAAAAACCTGAGGGAATTTAAGAGCCGGTCTACGAACTGCAGATAAAAACACAGCTGCGGGGCACCTGGGTGGCTCAGTCGTTAAGCGTCTGCCTTCGGCTCAGGTCATGATCCCAGGGTTCTGGGATCAAGCCCTGCATCGGGCTCCCTGTTCAGCAGGAAGCCCGCTTCTCCCTCTCCCACTCCCCCTGCTTGTGTTCCCTCTCTCTCTGTCAAATAAATAAATAAAATCTTTAAAAAAAAATAAAAACACAATTGCTTTCGGGTGTGATGATGTCCTGAGGCACAAGTATCAAGCTGGAAACGTGATTGTGTAGGCCCTTTACTGGTGCTCTGCTCCCCTCTCACCGCCACGGCTTGCAAAAGTGGCTTCGGTTTTATTTCAGAACCTATTTAGAAATTTTGGCCCCCAAGTGGTACAGTGGGCCGTAGGCCAAAAATGTCATCCGTGGTAATGTCAAATGTTTATGTGCCCAAGAAGAAACCGTATTTTATGCCCTCTTTAGCAATCAAAGTCTACCCTTACAGATCCAGGGACTTGAGAAGTTTGCTTTCAACTCTCTCCCAAGAATCTCCATGCACTGAATTACTATTTAATTTCCCCCTTTCCCCTTTAAAGTAGAAATAGCAGTGGTTTTTATTGGTACCTTATAATGCTTTTATATGGGGCGCCTAAATCTTAGATAGATACTCATCATAGCTATAAAAGGTTTCATTATTATTTGTAGGTTGATGCTAATTTTTCTTTTTCTCTTTTCACAAAGAAAACACAGTTAAAAAGGTTTTATTAATATTTATAGCCCTTGTTCTTCTAATCCGTGACAAACTGCAAAAAGGTAGGATTCTAACCATGTCTAATCTATAGACCTGATTTATGGGTGGCCACACTTTCCCAGGCGCTGAACTGCCCTGTCTAGTTATTGCCTCCGGCTAACCCTTAGGGAGACCCAACCCAGAGGTTCTTTCCAGGCGGTGATGTGTACAGCATACTTGGAAATTTCTCGAAGTTAACAGAGATTTTTGGACAATGAAAGATGAAGTTTCTGTACTTCAAAGGGAGCTCTGTAGGGGGAAGTGCGAGGAGGGAGGGGGCAGAGTGGGGAAAATGATGAGCCCAAACAAACCCTGGCAGGCTGCCAGGCGGTGGTGGCCTCCAGGCCAGTCCCACTGTCCGATCGCAGGGGGGAGGGGACAGGTGCGAGAGCTGGCCGGCCGACTGCCGGGATTTACTGTGCCCATGCTTGGGAGAGAAGCGCGGCTGGGAGGGAGGGGCCCTTACCTCGGGGCTGGAGTAGTGGGGAGGCTTGCTGCCCTCACTCTCGCTGGAGCTGCTCTCCGTCTCGGAGTCGGAGCCAGAGCTGCTCTCTGAGTCACTGGACGAGCTGCTGCCGCTCCCGCTGCTGCTGCTGCCGCTGCCCTTGCTGGAAGGCACGGAGGCTCTGCAGTTGGCCTGCTGGACCACGGCGCTGCCAGCCCACCAGGCCCCCGGGAACAAGAGGGAAGGAAAGCCAAGTGAGCAAACACAAAACACCCCTGAGCAAGCTGTCATTCGACCGGAGGGGACAAGGAGCCCCCCCTCCCCGGGGGCTGCCTGGCTCTCAACCATCACCTGGAACCTGAAGAGCAATCATCCGGTCAAAGGCATCCTGATGGTTAAAAAAACAACAACAATAAAAAACCATTATGTATGTAAATAAAATTGGGAATGAAAGTTGGTGCCCCTTGGTAGTCGGGCACTTGTGACTTGGTGGGCATTTTAGAAGGGAGGGTGGTGTCATTTCAGAATGACTGTTTCTGGGAAAGGCTTTGCAAATGCACCCCCTAATCCGATCAGCTACCAGAAGGCAAGGAAATAAATCCAAAATTCTTGAAATATTTTCTGAAGACTGAAAATGTCTGTTTGCTTTATTTTAGGAAGTGGGCTGTGAGGAAGGGCACAGCATTCTGCTCCGTGCTTTCATGGCCTGCTGGAAGGTTCTGGAGCCTGCGGTTATCATCAAAGTTACAGTCCTGCTTCCTACCTCTTCCTGCCCATGGAGTTGAGTGGGTATAGTGTTTGCAGGAGCTGGCTTGCTGTATAAACAGTAATTTTCCCTTGAGCTCTTTATTAAAGAACTGAAGATCCATCCTTTCCACATTTTTATATATTCCAGACTTTAAAATTTAACCCCCGCACAGTGGCTTATAGTAACAGCATTTCAAATGTTCAAATATTTCACATGGTCAAATGCCTGATGTTCATATCCAAGCTGAAATTTGCCAGAAGTCATTATACACTCAGAGACAACAGGAAAAATTGACTTTCTAATGGTAATTAATTAACCACAAAAATTCAGATGAAATACACCAACCCAAAAAGAAATTTTCGGTACTCACATAACACTCAGTATCTTCAGAGTCCTTTATTAACTGCATTGCAACATGCATGAATCTGTTCTTTTGAGGTCAAATTCTGAACCCAGAAAACGCAGTGATCACTTTTTAATGTTGAGTCAGCAAATATCTGCTTGCCACTTGAAACTGTGACTACTGCTTCATCAGGACTGGACATGAGTGAAGGCCAGGGGCGGGGGGAGCCTGTCAGGGTTTATGGCTTTAAGTGTAAAGCAGCCTGGACAAGGTGAATGACCCTTTCACCTACCCCTTAAATCTCTGACAAGTGTTTTGCCTAAGGACAGATTCTCATAAATCCTCAGTGTGGGGATAGGGAGGGGGGTTAATATTCATTGGAGCCTTGCTTCTCCTAGAAGAATGACAAGACAAGAAACTATCTTGCAGGATATATATCTGAAATTGGAAGCATCATTTTGAACTACAGGGTTAGAGAAAAATGGAGCTGGAGCATAGCCTTCCCTGGTGGTTCTCATCTCTTCCACCAATGTCATGGTACATACCTACTGTCTGACAAAATTCTTCAACATCACACAACATCAGCACATTTATGCCTTGCCTGAGCTGTAGTGATTTCTTCTTCTTTTTTTTTTTTAAAGATTTTTATTTATTTATTTGTTAGAGAGAGAGAGAGAGAGAGAGAGCACAAGCAGGGGGAGCAGCAGAGGGAGAGAGAGAAACAGGCTCCTTACTGAGCAAGGAGCCCGATGTGGGATTCAATCCCAGGACCCTGGGGTCATGACCTGAGCCAAAAGCAGAAGCTTAACGACTGAGCCACCCAGGCATCCCAGTAGTGATTTCTTTACCAGACTACCATTTGTGTCTGGTGTTGAGTGAGGAATGCTGGATCTTTAGACAGAGGTGGGGAAGGGAAAGTTAACCATCGGAGGGCTATAATATTTCTTTCTTCCTTTATGAACTAAAATCCGTTTTTCCTGTTGGCTGAGTAGAGATGGCTACTATCAATGGCATCATAAAAAAAAAAAAAAGACTATTAGATTCTGACCAAACATCTGAGATCCATAAGTTTGGCAGTTTTCAGTTTTGGGGAAAACACTGGGGGTAAAAACTCCAAACAACCAAACAATACCCCCCCAAATAATCCCCAAACCCTAAACCCCCCAAAAGCAAAGCATGCATGGTGGAGGAAACAGATATGTCTCCCTGCCATATTCTGGAATGACATTTGCTGAAGACAGGGAGATGATGAGGAATAAAGAGTATTTTGATGGATTTTATATGGTGGTCGAAGGCTTTGATCACTGAGCAGTACATTCTACTTGCTTTAATTCAAACAACAAAGGACATGTGATGCTGGTGCCGTGTGTACCTGGGCATTATGTGTGCAGCAGAAACAGCAATGTGTGCAGTTCCCTAGGGCTTGCACCACAAAGTGATTTGACTGTCTTTTGAAAAGCGGCACTTTAATTTCTGAGAAAATGTCCATTAAACAGTTACCATGCTGCCTTCCTTTTATGACTGCTGTCTTCTAGTAATGAGACATACTAGCCCAAGGAGAGAGAATCTTTGATCTGAATTAGATTGGCAGAAAAGCCTTATACTTTTATGTTTTCCTTCCTTAAATTAGGAAATTCACTTAAAATGACAATTTTACAGGCATAACTATTATTTGTTTTTAAAACAGTTGAGAGAGCCAAGAATTTTAGGTTTTTCTTCGTGTTTTGGTTGTAAGGGCCGCGAGGCTTACCATGCTTCTGGGGGCAGGGTTGAATATATTTGTGTTTCAATCGTCTGGGTAGAGAATATGTCACTAGAAACAATCCATGTCAAGGATGGGGGCCTGGTAAGACTGTAGTGGCTCCAGTCGTGGGATCGAGATAACTATCCCAACCTCCACGAAGCCTGCCCTGGTAACTTGTCTCAAGGCTGGTCTTTGGGGGACAACAAGTCATTCTGGCCTCGGCATAGCGCATGTTGTTGCCATGAGTGCAGGCAGCTGCTCTGCCTCTGTGAGCCTCTGCAGCGGGGAGGGGAGAGTGGCAGGAGAGGTGAGGAAGCCCAGGATGGTCATCACTACAGACTAGTACTAACAGAAGGATGAGATCGGTTAAACCAGGAGGGCTCCGAGGAGTCATGGAAATCAAGAAGATGGAAAAAGACATATCAGAAAAACCCTCTGGAAAGAAGACTTTAGACTCAATATATTTCCAGTCGCAGACTGAGCACATTAGTGTGCCAACTTGTTGTCATGTTTCCATGCTGAAGATACTAAAAAAATATTCACTTAGTTAAAAATTAACTTTTTCCTAAAACGGTAACACAGATTAGTTGAGATGATGACACAGTCTTAGACAACTTTTGGGAGAGTTTTTGGACCCCATGCCATTTTAGGAACATGGTGGCATGGAATTTGCAGATGTGACAACATTAATGAGATAATGGAATGAAAGTCTGTCATCAAACTTAGCACCGTGCCTGGGACGTAACGGACATTTACATGTGATTGCTGAATGAAAAAATCAATAGAGAAAATCTATCATTGGGTTAATGAGTTTTTTAAAACAAAGGATTTAACCTTTTAGAAGGGTTATAATCTCTCTTCTCCAATAAAGAATTTAAGGGGACTTCAGCACCTCTTGTGATCTTCCAATTTTAACACTTCTTCCTTTCAGAGAATATTTCTTTAAATGTGCTATAAATTTCACCTGCTATAATTAAGCACAGTTCTCTCTTGGATGGTTTTTACTTTTTGGTAGTTTGACTTCATGCAATGCCTTGCTGGTTTTGTGAGTGGTCAAGACCAAATACACCTTTGGCAGAGTCTTGGGTTTATTCTCAATGACCTGCTTGCTGTATCCCCTCCTTTGGCTTCAGTGACACATTCCTTTCAGAATCTGGCCTGGGCGAAGTCTGAATACAGATAGTAAAGGAAAAGATCTGGAACCTAAATGACAAATCCTGGATCTCACAGTCAAGCGTGCTCATGCCTGCCAAGTGCATTGTGAGGCCTGGATAAATACCCGAAGTTTTCCACAAGCTTTCAGCTCACAAGTAACGTGGAGGCAGGCTCTCTGCCTGGTTGGCACTGTGTGGACAGGCGTGATGCCCAGCAGGAGCCTCACTGCCTGTGGCCACCCCACTCATACTGGCCAGATGATATTTTAGAAGGCACGACAGCACCTTCTCACTCAACACTCGGTATTGATTTCCAAATGCTCGATTTCCAAGGTGTGATTAGTGCTCTGGCAACAGTAGTCCTTTTTTGATAGCATCTTTATTGATATTAATTGGTCTAAATTTCACATTATGCGAAGTGAAGATGGTAAAAGATGGCACGAGGAGGTTCTCTGTTGCTGAAACTATCTTCCAAAACACAAAACTGATAGGACTGTTGGTCCCATATAAAAGGTTTTGTCTGCTCTGCTATAGCACCAGAAACAAGTCTTCTGTTAAACATGGCTTTTTGAAGCTCTTCAGGGTCTGGCCTCAATTAGATCTCCATCTTCACCTCAGTGGGTCTATCCTTAAACCTCAGCCATAATAAATTTCTCATAATTTTGACCATCTCTGAAATGTTTTAGAATTATATATATGTGTGTATGTATATATGTGTATATATATTTATATATATTTAAACTCACTCTATTTAAACTAAAAAACCAAGACCACCTATTTCTCCTACCCTCCCATCCCCCACCTCTGGCAACCACAAGAATAGAACAGAATTATAATAAATAAAAATAGAATTATATTTTTATTTACCTTCAGTGTTTTTGAATTCATCTCTTTGTACAGACTTTCAATTGTTTTTCCAGATGCTACATTATATATAACTTATCACAATCTACTGGTATTATCATTTTACCAGTTTGAGTGAAGTATAGATACCTTATCTCCTTCCTTGTCTTAAATATCTCTTCTGTACACATTGGAGAACCACACCAAACAATGTTTCCAATGTTGTTTCAATTGCCAAATATAATTTAGAAACCCGGAGAAGAAAAATTTATTGTATTGACCCTACTTTTGTTTCCACTGTTCTTTCTTTCTTGATACCATTTATTTTATTGAGGTTCTTTCTTTCATCATTTCCTTTCTGTTTCCAGAACTTTCC